AAATACGTTTTTAATTATTTGTATATCCACATATACATATATTGACACCATATTATATTCCCTTCTATCACATTGTATATAAAAATGACATTCATATTACAATAGAACGAAATAAAGCATTCCGTGGAATACAAAAAAAATCTACGAGCATACACAAACTATTCTAAATACAACATTCAGCAATATAAAAAAATATAGAGACAATGTTAATAATATAGCGAATATTATAGATGTATCCTTGTCTATCTATATTTTTAGATACATTTTATATACCATTTTCGTTTTGCAATTTCATTAAATTCCAGCATCCCGCCATAAATCTTTTCAGCAAGATAACGGTTTGAGGGAATGAATGAAATTATTTCGTTTTTATTTTTTTTTACTTTTCTATTCTATCCTTTGTTTTCTTCATTTCGGTTCATTTCGGTTTTTTGTTTTTCTATATTTTGCTTCTTTATTTTTTTCTTTTCTTTTTAGATCTTTGCTGATTTTGTTTATTTATTTTTCTTTTTACCGAAGTTCTATAAAATTCTCTAACATTTTGGATAATTTTCGTTGGCAGTCACAAAAAAAAGAGCTTGACAAAAGATGAGTTCTTTTTCAGCTTTTTTTCTTTCTTAAAAAAATATCTAAAATAACGCATATTTCTCTTTATAACAGTATATATAATGTAACCAATAAAAAATAAATAAATTAATTAATTATTCAAAAAACAAAATTTTTATACTATTAAAAAACTTATAGAAATTGCAGGTGTAGAAGATATTCTGATTTCTGATATAGACTGCAGTGGGATCAAATAAAATATTATGGCTTCTATATTGTGTTATATTCGAAATTACATCTGAATAGTTTATGTCCCCTTCTCTGTAATTTAAAATCTAACTGAAGCATAATTATAGCAGAAAATTTTCATAAGCAAGTTGTTATGAAAGACTATTTTTTATCTATTGTTTATTTTAAGGAAAAAATAGAAATTCCGTATAACATAAGATATGGACTGTAATTTGTTAAATGAAATAGGAAAATATTAAATATATAGGAATTTATAACATTTGCAATGAAAATAATTTATTTAATTGTTTATTAAAAGTTTTTTAATGGTTTTCAAGCCTTTGTAAACCCTTTGGATTTGATCAGAACATACTAATTATGAAATAGAGCATACACAAATAAATATAATTTTACAATGAGTGAAGAACGATACCCCAACAGTACCCCGTATTACCGTTTTCGCCTTCTTAGCATCTATTTTGGTGTTTGGACCCCAGCAGAATTTATTTTCAGGACGGTTTTGGAAGAAAAATTGTGGAACATGCCGAAACTCTTTTAACAATGCCCTTACATTAAGATCATTTGAGAGCTGAGATGTTAGAGTATAAAAATATAAAAAAAATTTAATTATATCTGATTAACGGACAAGCAAACAAGAAACGAACAAGAACAAACAAGAACTGTCACAGTAGACCACAATTATAAATTTTTTTATGTCTTCTTGGGATCTATTTTTGAGCCCCCTAGGACCCTAGTAGATATGATTTTTCAATTTAGAAGCCTTTCGTTTGTTTTAGCAGAAAATTGGCTGGAAGACCCGAAAAGCTATTTGGAACCAATAGACTTGACATTGTTACCGAGACCTTTCCAACAGGCGTTTTCTCAGCCCTTGAGGCGTTTTCTCAGCTCTTGAGGCTGAGCTATTAGAGTTTAAAAATTTCGAAAAAAAAAATCAATTACGCCTGATTTCCCGGCGAACAAGCAAAAAACGAAGTTAAGAAAAACTTAGGAAAATATAAAAGTATACATAAAAATTTATATATAAATAAAATACAAACAAACAAAAAATGTCTGCATTAGTATGAGTTTAATTTAAATTTTAATTTCGATCTTAATCTCTTAATGCGAAATAAAATTGCTGTCTTTATTCTATGTATGTATGTACATATTCTTTTCGTTATTTTGTCTTTCATTTAACAAATGGCAGGTGATGATGAAGGTGGTTATAAAAAACGATAAAATAACACAATAAAAATTAAATATAGGGTGAGGATGAATGGAGTTCAACAGTAATTGTGAATTTTACATTTTACATAATTTACATATCGTGAAGATTGATTCATTGTATAAGATTGTTCCTTACAAATTACATATCATACATATCACATATATATATGTATATTATGTTGAATGTGTACAAATAACAAATAGAAGAGCTGGGTTAAATTTATATATTTCAAAAAATGGGAGCTAATTAAGTTCCTAAAATAAAACTTCTTATAATTTTTTTTTATGATTTTATATTACAGTTATCAAAGAGCACAAATATTCGTTGTTTTTAAGCAATTTAACGCAGAAAGTTAAACTATCATAGGAATTTAAAAATTTTAAAAATTGTATATTTCATGGTCCGTTCCGTCCTTTCAGAATATGAATTTCAAAAAAAAAATACGAAAGCAATTTTTAACCCACTACCGCCTTTTACTTCATAAAGTCTTAATAAAATTAAGAGAGTAACATTTAAAAAACAAGATAATTTTTTTTTTAATTCTTACCAAAATTTTATTTTTATCTAATAGCCACATACGTATACGTAATAATTATAAAAAAAATAGATGATATCTTGTACATACATAACGTATGTACATATATATAAAATTATAAATAAAATTTGGTAAAATCTTAATAAATTTACCAATATGAATTTAATTTTAAATGTCTCATAATTTTGAAAGATAACTCAACTCAGAAATAGGACAATAAATCCTAGAAAAGTTTTTTCTTTTGTCTAATTCTGTAGTGAAAAAGAGCAAAGTCATGAAAATCTCATATATACTACACATATTTAAATCTATTGTAGGGTGGCTATATGCCATACACCATAAATATGTCACGAAAAAAATTCAAAAGGATGTTATCGCAAAAAAATATATAAACATATACTTATACATATGTACATGTACAATATACAAAGAAAATCAAATCCATTTTAAATAACTATAACATGTATTCCATGTTAGTAACAGTAAAATATACTTTGGAATATAAAGAAGAAATAAGTGACACTTCATAGAAAACCGGATAATCCGTTGTTTATATTCGGTATATGACTTCATTCATTCATATATATTTTTTAGTACATACATTATATAACATGGTATTAGAAAAGGAGACATCATTTTATTTTTTCCCATTTTGATTATTCTATTGTTGTCTTGCTTTGTTTCAAATTTTATTTTATTCTACTTTTTTCTTTTCCGTTTTTATCTTCTAAAATCATCAAACTAGTATTATACTTAAAAGAAACGAAAATGTAGAAAAAGTAGATACTTATATTCCATTAACACAACCTGATTAAATAAACTTGCATTTCAAAGTTGACCCCTACTTTTATTTCTCTAATATACAACAGCCTCAATAAGTTCCTTAAAGTGGTTCGGATAAAAAGCAATAACTTTTCTTAATATGTACATATCTTTACGAAAATTACGTATTAATGAGTGAAAAACAGAAATTTGTTTATTAATATAAAAAGGAAGGATTTAAATACATATGTAGATCCGTGATTACATTTTTAAGGTTATAACAAAAAAACATTATTGTCTACAAAAATACAGTTAATTCATGAAATGTCATGTATATTTTTGAGTTCTTTTTTTCTCTTTTGCAGAAATGCGGACTTCTGTATTTTCTAAAGAAAATTTATTAGAACATAAATTTAGATACATATATTTGTAGTTAATAACATGTTACTAGGCTTAAACCGGTCCCAGATTTTGAAGACGTATTCTTCCTTAAAGAACGTTATGTACGTTTATATAAAATAGACAAATTTTTATTGACTAAAATTTATATGAATTTTTATAAATTTATAGAAATTTTTTATAATAATTTTTGAAAATTTTGTCAGATAAAAATTTCGAAATCTTTAATCTGTAAATATGTTAGTTATAAATGTGTTTAATAATTTTTAATCTGTAAACATGTTTATACCTATTAGTACCTATTATATTGATTTTGAAATATAAACAGTTCTTGCAATATAAATTGATTTAATTATCCTTTTTTTAATGTAATAAATATTTCTCATTCTAAATACAAATTTTAATTTTCTTTTAAATTTGCTTTAATCAAAAAATGCTCTTTTCACTGAAAGATCGGTGAAAGTAATCACTCAACAGCACTGAACAATTTTGTGCAGGTGCATAAAATTATATAAATAAGTTATTACATAAAGTATGCTACATTTTTACATGAAGTCAGTGCTTGAAACGCCAAACTTTTTTTGACAAGCTTGTAGCTACATAGTGATATTACAAAATAAAATATGACAAAACTATACAAAAATATACATATTTACCTAAAGGAAACCTTAGACAAAAAAAAAAAATAAGTTAAACATAAGAAATTTTCTCGTGATTGTTCATCTGTGTAAAGCAAACCCAAAAATACTCTCTTACTTAAAGAACAAAATTTAAATTGCAAAGTAAAAAATTGCACATAGTTGCACAACAAACGACCGGCAACGGCAAAAACCTCGACATCCAGGTCTGTCGCTGTGAAATATCAAGATTCATTTACACGTCATATATAAATTTGACTGGCCAAAATGAAGCAAAATTAATTTTATTTATAATGTTTAATGTTATTTTCGTTATATGAAAAATTTAACAAACAATTTTATTACGGTATTTGATGTGTAAATAGAGTTTGGATTTTGTTTGGATGTTATATTTGATATATGTATATATATATTACCTTAGATTATCGCGAATTGATCATGATTTGATGAAAATTTGTTTAAAGTCGTTTAATCCGTTACTTTTTTAAATCTTTATCTTGTAAATTTTTATCTTATTTATCTTCAATACGCTTTTGTCAAAAAAAAATAAAAGTTAAAATTTTTACCAATTGGAAACACAAGATAGTTTTTGTTTATAAACATTTTAAAAACAACGCTAATAAATATTTAATAAAATCAATGCTAACGTATGAGTGCATTTGCAAACAGTTGACCATCAAAAATTTGCTAGTGCAACAAGTAGGAATAATTTGTGTTAAAAAAATTTATTAAATTTAAATTAATAAAAAGAATCAGAAGCCAATCAAATAAGTTTTTCTTTATTTTAACAAAGGAAAATTATATTTTTTATAAAGAAGTCATTTTATATTTCGAAATACAATATTTGTCAATATTTTAGACATTGACCTTGATTAACGTATAGAATGGAAAATACAAACGAAATGGAGGCAAGTATTGAGCAATCTGACTATTTAAAGATGTTTGGATTTGAAGCTGATTTACAAGAAAATATTTTGCCACTTGAAGAAACAATTGCTATTATGACAGAGAGGTTGGAAGAGTTTGAATCTTTGCTAACAAAAATAGCAAACGATTCTAACAATGTTGTCGAAAATGATGTTGTGCAAATTAAGGAATTTGGACCACATTTTGATGATATGTGCAGCAACATTGACAAAATGGATAAATTTGTCAACATGGTGAACGAAAAACTGAAAAACTTAGAAGAGACGATTGACATTGCTCACGAAGAGTTAGACATTCCTGATTACAACAGCATAAAAGGAATATTCAAGCCATTAGTAGAAGCGGTTGCTCTAGGAAAATCGAAATACATGTACAACTCTTCAAGAACAAATCTAAACGAGAATGGATCTTTCATAAAACCCGCTATATTAGATTCGTCGGCACACTTTAATAGCGAGTAAAAATTTTTAGTATTAAAACGTTATGTATAAAATATTGTAGGTAATAAAGAATTTGTTATTTTTTAATTCAAATATGCTAATGTTTCTTTTTTATGGAAATTTTAATTAATGAAGATGAAATTCTTATTTGTTTAATTTTTGACCTAGTTAGCCATTACAAAATTTAAAAAAAAAAAGTTCATGGCTTTTTTTTATTGCTCAATACATAGACAAACTATACCAGTTTTGGTATTTTCACGACCTTGTACTTTCTGCGAATCTTCTATACACACACACGAGCACATTTTTCAAGTTTAAAGCGATTGCTTTATGAATTATGAAACTAGGCCAGGTTGTATTAATTTCATAAATCAAATATACATATGTATGTACATACATATGTAGAAAGGTATTGTCTAATATAAAAATCTTGCAAATTTGATTTTATTCAAAATTGTACGAATACCTATAACAATTAAAATTTTTCTTATTAAATAAATGTGCAATTTTATATTGGTTTATAATTTATATAAAATTTATTTGATTCTAGTATACATGTTATAATTCTTCTGATGCTTCCATTTTATATGACAATGATTTTTTAATAATATCGACATAAAACTTAAACAAGTACTCACTTGCTGCTTTACACATAAGTTGGGCATCGTTATATTGCCGCAAACTAAATTTCCCATAGGTATTAGCAGCTATCAAATTTTTATGTATGCTGTCAAAAACAAAGGTAAAACTCGCAAGTGCTCCCGAAGCTTGCTTTTGATCGGGATCTAAAAGCAAAACTTCATTTTTATCAATTATACAATGTAAAGCAGCGATAGTAAATTTCATATCAATTCCACCAATAATCAACGATAAACAAGCTGCATTTACTGCACACGCTTCTATCTAGAAAGGAAAGCACATAAAATAATTTCGTTTTTTGAAAAAATTTATTAAAATCACCCCGCAGCGGTCATCTAATTCTTGAATTTGTATAGTTATAGCTGTCCGAGGATGCAATGTAGTGAGAATAGCTGTTTCACAAATACTCTTTACAATTGATTCTCTAAACCTATCTTTAACACCCGGCAGACCAATTTTAGGTCGAAATGTAACATCAACCTTAAATTTATTAGTATTTATTAAAATCCTATTTCCTTTTCATAAATTTCTTATTACCGTAGCTTTGTCTACTTTAGTATTATGCTGTCTGGCTTCAATCGGACCATACATAGAAGCTAAAACAGTTGTCTCTCCTAAGGTCAAAAAAAATATTGTTTGAAAGCTTTTTTAATTATTTAAAATAAAACCTTGTGATAAAAACGCTGACCCATCAGCCCGTGTCAATGGTTTCAGCTCACATTGCAGAGGTCTTAATTTTAATTCAAATCCAGAATCTGTGCTACTATTTTCAATTTTCATGCTTAGTATTAGTTTTGTATTTGATATATTAATGTTTTTAGATAATCTAAAATTTATTTACAAACCACATTAAAGAAATGTTTTGTTATATGTAAGTAAACAGAACAATGTTTGACAAGCAATTGGTGCGGCGTTGCCAGCATTTAAAAAATTTGTTTTACTAGAAATTGCTATTCTTTTTAAATTTCGAAATATTCAGAAGAATCCAACTTATACATATTTACTTATAAATGTTATAATAAGAAGCCATGCGAAGGGATACAGCGAAACAACCTCAGCAATAGAAAAAAATTTCACAGAATTTACAACAAATTTCACAGTTCGCACATTTCAGTTTCGTTGATTGGACTGAGAAACTAGTGCACAATACAATATTCTATCAGCTTATAAAAATCCCTTTTAATACTTTCGTATAAAAATGATTTAGGTAACTAAAATAAACAGTTATAAGTAATATTAGGTAGTAATGCCATGTTTTTCAGATCTATATAATTATTAATTCTACTTTTACTTATTATTCTTTGAATTCTACGTATTAGTTAACGTAAAATTTTTCTAATTTCTACGGTTGTCATAGCGTCCGCTACTGAATGTCTCGATATTTTGACATCATAAATTATAAAAAAGTACTATATTTTTAAATCGTTTACTTTTCACAAATTTAAAGGTGATCAAATTTTAGAGAAAAATAACAAATTTTAGAGAAATGTGGAACAAATAACAATTAGCAATAAGTAATAAATTGCATATAATTCTTTTATTTAACAAAAAAAGTACCCTTACGACGGAACTCTCTAGCAAACAAAACTCTGTAAAATTCATAATATCAGGATCATTCCGGAAAGAAAAATTTTAAAAAGGCGGTATGAGAATAAAATTTTGCCAGAATGAATTAAAATTATGCTAAGCATTGTTTTAAAACTACTGAAATGTGCAATCCAGGGTTAAATAAAATTTGCTTAAACTTTCAAAAATTTACGAAACAAACAGGATAAAAAAAAAGAAGTAGAAAAAATTAAAATATAATAAAGAAAAAACAACGGAACGTCAATAAAGTTTCGTCATGTTTCTCCAACATTGGCGCCTATAGTGAATTGAAGTATTTGAACATTTTTATTTTAGTAGTTTTTTATAACTTCTATAAACTATAATTTCATATACTCATAATTTATTTGCACAAATAACAAAATTACAATCAAATTAAATCAGACGAGGGAAATGGATTCGAAAGTAAATTTTAATATAGTTACATACATAGATATTGTTTAACAAATCCTCTACAAATTCTATTTCAGCCATCCTTGGACAACGATGAGCTGGAAAATTTATTACTTGAGTGTAATGCTATAATTTCTGAATATGGATATTTAAATGAAGACGCACAAAGAGACACTGAGGCTGAAGGTATATTTCATGCTGTTTTAAAAAATTTTGAAATTTTGAAAATATCTTTTACATATGCATATTTATATATTGCAGATCTACAAAATTTAAGAAATGATATAGAAAGTTTTTGCGAAAACGTGTCTCTTCGGTTAAATGAAAATGTATCTCTTCAGGTAATTGGAAATGGATCCCTTCAATTAAGTGAAAATGGATCTCTTCAGTTAAAAAAAAATGTATCTCAGTCAAATGAAAATGTATCTCCTCAGTTAAATGAAAATGTACCTCTTCAGTCAAATGAAAATGTATCTCCTCAGTTAAATGAAAATGTACCTCTTCAGTTAAATAGAAATGTATCCCTTCAGTTAAATGAAAATGGGTCTCTTCAGTTAAATGAAAATGAAGACAGCGTAATATGCACGGAAGGCACAGATAGTTTAAATGTCCCATCTAGCACTCGAGACACAATCAAAGACGATGACGTAATATTCGTGGGAATATCAGAACCATTAATTCCAATTATTGATCTTTCTACGCCCATAAGAGCTAGCAAAACCATGCGACCATCAAAAAATTATTCAATAAAAGAAAAAAGTAGACATAAAAATGTGTTAGAAGTAAAAAAGGCGAAGTCAAAATATGATACAGGCGTAGAAAACATTGAAGCTCAGTGTCCGATTTGTTTAGAGTCAGCGGTTAAGAATATTCCTACAAGTACAATTTGTGGTCATATATTTTGTAATAAATGTATAGTCTTGGCATTGAAAACTAATAAGAAATGTCCTCTTTGTAAAAAACGTAATCCGCAATTAATCAAATTATATGGACTTAATACAAAAATTTAAAAATTTGATATTTATTTTTTTACTAGTTATACAAATCCAACAATGGAAAATATATGTATGTACCTACTTCTTAACTTATTAAAAAAAACTTTTTTCAATAAATTTCAGGTATATTCCGTAAATTTTATGACTCCTAAATTTAAAATCCCATTTAACATGCAAGTAGGTTACCTACCTTAAATGTCTCAAATATCAATTATACACACCCAAATTTCTTTCTACACAGTCTTTTTTACAGGATTTTGAAATAACACGGTCCACAAAAAGCAAAAAATACTTTTTTACACGAATTATTTATTCTAACACGATGTTCCAAAAAATGTTTGTACACCCAGTTAAAAAAAAATATAAACGAAAATTTCCAGAATTTTTTTACTCGCACTTTATATTTGTCTGTTTTTCAAAATTGCGTTATCATTAAGAATGTAAATATAATTGTATTTAAAAGCGTGTCGAAGAAAAAAATATTTAAGTTTTAGTGCCAATATAATTTCTGTTTGGATTTACTTACAACAAAAAGGTACATAATATTATTGCGTAAATATAATATTAATATGTTTGAACTGTATTTTGTTCTTGTTTTTAATATTAATATACATTATATATGTATATGTTTTTTTTCATTATAATTTAATATTATTATATAATTTTATAATATATTATAATTTTAATATTATACTTTTTTGCACGGTTTTTAGGTCAATCTAAAACTCTTTTTTTGATCTTACACGTGTTTTTAAAATTGTAGAACACATCCTCAATATTAATACGAGTAGTATGTCTTTTTTACACGGATTTGGTTGAAACGTATCCACCGTGTAAAAAAAGAGTTGGGTGTACGGATCTGTACTATGTGTGTAAAGCAAATAGATAAATTTGGGTAATGATTTAAATTAACTTTTAATAAAACAAAACTATTTTCATATACATATGTACATTACAAGTTGAACAAAAAAGTTAAATGTATATATATATATTCAAATTTAGACAATTAAACCAAATTAATTTAGGCAGATATGCTTGCATTGTTGGTGCCTTTTAAATCCTCATTTCGGGTGTCTTCGTCAGTGTCGCCATCGTCTTCATAATCTTCTTCGTCTTCATCTCCTGAATCAAGTGTTTCCCAACTATCATCACTAGCATTTGACTCTTCCTCTATTCCATTAGCATCTGCAGCCTATTATGTAAGAAAAAATTTAAGTAAAATTTTAACACTTTGTATAAGATAAAATTAATAAAAATCTACGAAACTAAATTATTTCTTTTACTAATAATGAAGAGATCTAATTTGAGAAAAATTATTTCTTTAAAATTCTTTTATCAATTCTCATTATTTTTCTTACCAAGTGACCTGCCTGAATGTTGATTTCAATTTGCAAACGTATATCCATTACCATAAAAACAGCTGTTACCAATACTGGTAAAGTAATTCTACATTTCCATGCTAAATTTGTTAAAAACAAAAAAGCTCTTCCAAATTCTGAATCCATTCAATTTCAAAAAAAAAATGTATATTGAAATTCAAAAAATAAATTTATCTGCTCGCAGTTTCACTAGAGTTTTCAACGTCAATATCTGCGTTTTTTTCTTCTTGCAATTGATCGTATTTTAAAATGTGAACTGTTTCACCAATTGTAATAGGTTGTGTGGGGTATAAATGACGATAAATATCATAAACAGCAGAATCTCCTCCAATTGGGGTATCAAACTCTACATTACTATCTAAATTCAAAGAGTTGTTTATTAAATTATTTAAACACTCCTCTCTTTTTTGAGCTAATTGCTCTAAAATCCTTGGATCACTTCTTAATTTTTTTAACTTTTTCTCTAAAATTATAAAAAACTAACGTAGTTATACGAAAAATTTAATTTCAAATTACAAATTTTACCTAACGATTCTAAATATTTTTTCGAGTCTGGAAGAATATTTGTGCATTCAATCTGAAATTCTTCACTTGGGGTAAAATTGTCTTCGAATTCTAATGATAATGAATTTGAAGATAATGAGTTAATTGTTTTATTTGGTTCTTTATTGATACGCCAAGGGTCCGTGTTCATGTTTCCAAATACTTGAGTTGGGGACAATTTTATTCGATCCCATTTATCTCCGAATCATCAAAAAGTTTATTTTATGTTTTTCAGATTGAAACTTTCTTCTTGACTTTAAATGACGAATATCAAAAAATGTTGACTTATGTTTTACCCAAAGTTGATAACAAATTAAGTTAAGAACGAAACTTCAACATTATGTTGTTAAGCATTATTCAAAGATAGTGACAACAATGACAAACAAATTTTTTATTTCCACAAAACAATTAATTATCTAATTTAACACGAAAATACAATTTGCCTCAAGGGACAAGTCAGCTGTTTTTCAATTTTGGACAAAAACTATTTTTTATACTGCCAATATAAGCCTAGTTTTAAGGTCTATTTATACGATCAAAATGTTAACAAATCATTTTCGTTTCAACCCTGAAAAGAACAAAAATTTGTCAACATTTACCAACATTCAAATTTTTGACAAATTAATGACAACCTTAATTTTATTTTGGAAACATATGATCAATTAAATGACAAGTATATTAATAATTTACTGATAAATTGGAAATATTGCAAGGGGTAGTAACAGTATGAAATAAAAAAGAAATTTTTCGCAAATATTCTGCGAAAATCCTTTAACTATAATTGCACTAATACTAGTCAGTAAATATATCACCAAAATTTAAATATGGTTGTTGGAGCGTTCCCGGCCGCAAAACTTGGTGTTTTAGCTATAAAACAAATAAGTAAACCGCTAGCAAATATTATTAAAGATAGAGCGAAAAAGACACCATTTTTTAGCAAATATGTGTGCATGCCACCGGCCCAATTTTACAACTGGGTCGAAGTCAAGACTAAGATGTGGGCTATGAATTTAGGTAAACCAGTTAAGGTTCCACAATTAACTGAAGCTATGGCTATAGAATTGGGAGCTAATTTATTAGGAGAATTCATAATATTTACTATAGGTGCCGGTTTACTTATTTTTGAATACATGAGGTATATTTCATAATTATTTAAATCAAAATTATATTAAATCAATGATATTTACAATTTTAGACAAAGTAGCAAAGAAGCAAAAAAAGAAGAACAAACTCTAGAAGAAAAAAGACTTCTTAAACAAACTTTGTCTGAGTTAGCATTTAAAATAGAAAGGCAAGATGCACAAATAAGAGAATTAAACCGTAGCTTAGCAGCTCTTGGTAAGTGAAAGATCAAGAAAATATAATATAAAGTAGTTTAGGATATAATACAATTATGTAATAAGTTTTTTGTATATATAAATAGCTAAATAAACCCGATATAAGTGAGTAGCCAACCAGTCCCTCATTATCTCAAGGCGACCGTATAAGTCGTGAGTAGAGCAAAATCAAAGATTGTATGTAACAATAAATGTTTTTTATTTGTTTACTAGTAAAAAAACACAAATGAAACTTATCTACTTTACACACGGCGTATATATTGCCTATTTTTGAAAAATATGCTTTAAATACAATTTTTATACATATATAAAGCAATTATACAATGGTTTTACGTGTTAACGCAATAAATATTGTTTTGAACAAAAGAATTTGCTTTGAATTTTTTGTACTGTCCAAAACATTTTGATCATTTTGTTTCATATTACAATCAATCGATAAATCGGAAAATTACTTTTTAAAGATTTATTATATTTCTAAAATCTCTGAAATGATGGAAAACTTAATTTGGCTTGAAAAGTCATTATTTATGTACATATATGCCATATCAAATCCGGTTTTCTTGCAAAAAATTCATAGAAAAACATCTGTTTGCAACAAAATCTATAACCAAAAATGAATTGCTTTCCTTTTAATGGAAGCTTTTGTGCTAAATTGGGAAAAGGAAATCAGGTTTGATAAAGTGTGTATGTTTTGCACGAAAAATATAGCTAAAAAGTCTATTTTATGGAATTAAAAGAAGTTTTTCTTCATTTTCAATATTGTCGAGAAAATAGAGATATGGAAAAATATCCATTCATTTTACAAAATTATTTCTATTCATATTACCATTAATTACATTAAATACTTAATAAAATTATAAGAGTACCTATGTATGTGAATGCAAAATTAATTTATAACAAATTTAAAATCATTTGTTAAAATTTTTCGTTTAATATTTTCCATTAAGCGTTAATTATTAATTATTCGCACACATGTATATTCATAGTATATAAAGACCTACATAGAAACTTTGAAAAATTGAAAAAGACAACAGGTAGAGAGTATTACAAAATTCTTATATATTGCACATAATCATATCAATTTATTTCCAAGTTTTATTCGATTATTTTTAGATTCAAGAGTGTTGTTCAGATGGAAATCCATACAATCAGAAAAGGGAATTCATAAAAACAAAAATTTGTTAGAATCAACTGTGGAAGATGATGAATACCAGAACAATGCTGAAATTAAATCGAAAAACACATTTAAGTCTCATACTGGTAATTACGATCCTAAATATGGTTATTTATATAGAGCATTAAATTTTATTGAAACTGAAATATACAGCGACACCAGCCAAGAATCACGTAACCGCATTAAAAACCGATGAGTAATCTTGAAATTCACATCAGTCGGGAAAGTCATTTCAAAAAATCGTCTTGGGAATCTTACATAGTGAATTAAATAGAAGATTAGTGTGTAACTTTAGCGAATAAAAGTTGTCTTTTTTAAATTTATTATTACACACATTTGTGCTTTAGTTAACTTTATAATATTTAACATTAAGTTTTTTTTTATTTTAAGAGAAATTGTTGCAAATTGAAATAATATAAGGACGTACTCGAAAATTAATAGTTTATGCAATAACTACAAATTCTAAATTATTTTAAATTAAGTTTTGGTTTTAGAAATTCATTCTTTCAAGTTACACGTACTTAATACCTAAAAAATGCGGTTCCTCTCCCGGTTTTTGTCTAAATAACCGATAAGAAATGGTTGGCATAGTAGGAATTTATTATATATATTTTGTACCAATTATTGTTTAAGGGCTTGATAATATTGTTAACTATAGTTCTTTTGCATTCGCATTATACTAATTTAAAAAGCTTAAAACAGAAAATTTGAAAACCGAAATCTTCATATTTTTTAATGTTTAAAAGTAAAACAACACAATTGAATTGAAAAATATTCCGAATTTCGGAATTTTGTATATTCCGTTAATCGCGTAGCATGGCAACACTAATAAAAATTGAAGAAATCATTTATATTTCAGCTGTTGTTATCATAAACAAAAGAAGTAAATAAATAGTGTTGTCTAAAAATTCAATAAGATTAGTCAATTTGTTTTGTAGTATAAAAGTATGAAGTAGAATTTAAATTTACAAATAAAACATAATTATATTTTTTCTTTGTAAATTTTTACTAAATTATCTAAAATGAACTGGATCGAGTACACGGAGTCTAAATGGAGAAATTTTGACATGACCCTGCTGGGGGTAGATGAATCTTATATTAACTTGTTAAATGAGACTTCCAAACCCGTTTTGATATATTATCGATATGAAGATTGTTATATGTGTGCTTATCAAAAACTTCGTTATGATAAACAAATTATATTAGATGGATCTAGATCAATTAATTTCAAAATTTTTGATAAGGATCAAGGCAAATACGTTTTTGATAACGAAACAAATTCAATCTGCGATATCGAATCCTATTTAGGAGAATTTGGCGTATATAATTTATCAGTGTTAGCTAATAAAAATTGTTCAGTTATTGTTGATAAGGAACCTGTTAATGTGCATATGCCAATTGTTACATTATTATTAGTAACTTTATTAATTGCATTATGTTACAAGTTGCTTATTTGGACTTGGAACAAATATATAAAGAATAGATTTTGTAATGCAGAAAATATTCAAACAACTGATGATGGAAAAAATAAAAAAAAAAGATTGTTAAGTTTAGATGTATTTAGAGGATTTGTAATAACCTTAATGATTTTCGTAAACAGTGGCGGTGGCCATTACTTTTGGATTGAACATGCTCCTTGGAATGGTCTTCACGTTGCAGATGTAGTTTTCCCTTGGTTTTTATGGATTATGGGAGTTGCAATCCCTTTTTCTATTCATAGTCAACTTAATCGTTCTATTTCAAAGATGAAATTACTGAAACATATTTTCGTTAGGTCCGTTAAGCTATTTTTAATTGGATTGTGTTTAAACTCAATGTTTGGACCATCATTAGAAAATTTAAGAATAATGGGCGTACTTCAGCGCTTTGGTATATCATATTTTGTATGTGCTTCCTTTTATTTACTTTTTTCAAAAAGTAATATTAGTATTTCTCAAGGACGGTTTGCATTTTATATCAGTGATTTAATAGTGATGCGAGAATCATTATTACTTTGTTTGATTTTAATTATAATTTATTTAACGATAATTTTTGGATTGAAAATTCCGAATTGTCCACAAGGTTATCTCGGGCCTGGTGGCATACATGACTACGCGGTAAATTTTAATTGTACCGGAGGAGCAATTGGATATATAGACGAATTGATATTAGGAAGAAATCATATTTATCAACATTCAACGGCTAAAAAACTCTATAATTCTAAAAATTTTGATCCAGAAGGGCTTTTTGGATGTCTTATGAGTATAGTTCAAGTTTTTTTGGGTATACAATGTGGCACTATATTTCGAATCTACAGTAACTTTAAGGCAAAGTGTAGTCGTATGATTATTTGGTCTGTAATATTGGTGATTATCGGAGGAAGTTTGTGCTTTTTTAGCAAGGAGGATGGTGCAATACCCATTAACAAAAACTTATGGTCCCTTTCATTTGTAATGATAACATCTGCGATGGCGTTCTTTGTTTTATTGCTTTTACATGTTGTCATAGACGAAAAGGAGTTTTGGAAAGGCTTTCCATTTTTGCAAGCTGGAATGAATTCAATAATATTATATGTCGGTCACTCTGTATTACATAAAATGCTACCATGGCATTGGAAAATTGGTTTAATGAACACTCACTTTATTTTGGCGTTGGAAGCTTTATGGAATACGACATTATGGTTATTAATATCCTGTTATTTATATAAAAAGAACATTTTTTATAATATTTAATAAATATAAATATATATACATATGTATATACAAATATATGTAGTCTTGGCTTTTAATTACAAAAAGAGTCAATCACTTTTTCAAAATTCGACTTGAGTAATCATAACAATGTGTTATCAAACCATACAACATATTCCTATAAGTAGCGTGAATTGCTTTTATAAATTTCACTTTATAAAAATTAACGTAAAATTTTATAACTTTTTCCATTGCGTTATTGTCCATGACATACATTCATACGTATGTCAATACATATACATACATACATACGTAAATTCATAATAATTTTAAATTTGGTACTAATATCATTAAAAAACTTATTACGGAGATATGAATAGGTTTTAATATATATATCTTAAATTCACTTTATTCGCATATTTTACCATTTGTCTTTATTTTACATCCCAATAAAAGTTTATTGCTTAATGATACAATTTTTATTGTTATGTAATAACTGCATTAATGTTACGTACATACATATTTATGTATACATATACAGGAACTTTCAATAAATCATAATTGTCATGTGAAGGGTTTTAAAATTTATTTGTTTTGTAGATAACAAACCAGTTTAGAATATTAATAATTTTTGGAAACGCATCTACATTATGTGCATAAAGGAGTTCTAAGTAAATAAAGAGGTTTAATGCAATTTGTATCAGAGAAATATACCCCACAAAAATATATGTACATAACTTGTTGATACCCTTTTGATTTTTAAAATACTTTTTTTTTGGGTATAACTATGAGTTATCTTGTAAACTTATAACACTATATCATGTGCAATAAATCTTAACAAATTTTTTTAAAACAAAAATATGCATGAGTAACGTTTTACAATCACCTGTAAAGTACCTATACTGATATGGGAATAACCATACTAGTTATGGAGGTGTTTAAAAAGCTAATCTAATATATCATTCCCTAAAATCCTTGAATTTACAGCTTTAAATAAGATAGTAAAAATATTTTTCATATTTTTCTAACGGGTCTATTTAATAGAAAAAGTTTTTTTTACTGTTTTAAATAATAACACGTAGGTCTTGCAAGGGTTACTATTATTACCAGAGACTATTAGATAAGATAATATATGTATGTATCTACTTATTATTTAATATTTATATACCTGCTTTTATTTTTTTGTATGTTTATAAGTCAAACACAAATTGAACGTTTTAAAGTAGGGAAATTAATGTCTAATTTGAAATTAATGACAAATGTATACGTACATACATATGTACATATATATAAAATCATATATTTTTAATAAAATAACTTGAAAACTTTCCTACTATCGGTAGGTATAACTATTTTTGTGCACTGCTAACGTAAGTTAAACCGTAACGTAACGCAAATTCAAATTGATGAACTTTTATCTTAAGCTTTGAATTAAATCATTGTTTTTTTAATGTTGTTGCCAAAACATTTAAAATTAATATTTATATGTAATCAGTCAAAAACTTTTTAATTTCATATTGTGCAAGTGAAACTTTTTCACGTTAGTTATTTTAAAAATTTTTATAATAAAAAAAAAGCGTATCAAATACCATATGAATGGCTATTCAACGTCTTAAATTGAAACTAGCGTTGTGATTGCGAACAAATCAATAAAGTAATAAGCGAACGTTAGCCGCACATCAAAAAACTTTCAAGCCGGCAAAGGGCTTCCGATAACATTTTAAATTTGGGGCTGTACAAATAAAAACTCGTAAGTAAAATCTAGTAATAATTTTAATTTTAAGAGAAACAATTTTTTTTAAAAATCAGATTATAGTTCTAGTTAAACTAATGGGACGAGATTCATTCTGAGGAACTAATCACTACATTCCCTGTAACATTTATGAAAAAAATGTTATTACTGAAATTAAAGAGAAATAACATTTGACATATTTTAATTTACTTAGATAAAGCTTACACGACTTCATATTTATTTATAAATCCAGATGTCAAATATATTCTACTCAATGGCAGCACAGTATAATGCAGCTTCACATTTTAAAATGTCAAAAACAAATAACAATTAAATCAACTTAGAATAACAAATTTATTGTACTAACGTAGCTATTTTTCTTTATGAATAAACTTGCTCAAGTTTCTTATAAAATAAAACAAGTGTATGAAATCGCTTGAATCCGCTTGAAGCTTAGTATCAGCTTTTTTGGAATGGATTTGGGAACGAAAAGCAATTTGAGAAATCAATGCCTGACATTGTCCAATAATAAACTCATTGGTATAAAATGATTATTTCACAAAAATATTAAATTAATATGTATTGAAAAATTCCAGCCTCTCCAAAAACTCCAAACCAAAAACTAAATTCACTTAAAAAAAGAGCTGCTAACACAGAAAACTCTCCTTCCGCTCTAACTCCGGAAAATCGCAAATTCATAAATATAGTCGAGGAGGAGTCCCCTACACAAAATTACTATGAATTTTGTACTCTTTCACAAAAAATGTTAATAGACGAGGACAGAGATGTTGTTTGGAATTGGGAAAAACATAAAAATTTATCAGAACCTAGAAACAAAGTCAACAATTCGAAAGAATGTAGAGTAAAAGCGAAATTATTATCTAATATAAATCAAGAAAGAAAAAGAGCAAAACCTAATTATTCTTGCAAGGGGCTATACAAATTGCAAGCTCTTCAAAAGGAGAAAAAATCCATAAATAAAGATGTTCAAAATTCATTGAATCCTCTTCTATTAAATAAGGATAAAATAGCAGAGTACAGGACTGAGGGGCGAGAAATTTTGAAAGAATCCCATTCAAAAATCAAAAGCTCAGTTGATAGTGGAATTGAAAGCACCTCAAAGAATTCTAGGCCAGACGAAAAATCTATAAAAGACCTGTTCTGTGATGAAGATGATTCTATTTTGTTTAGACATAGTCAAAAACTTGAAATATGTAATGAACATGCTAATAAGGCAGGAACTTCTTCCATTCAACATGTACAAAGCAACAAAAAGATTAATAGAGTTGAGAACTTAAAATCGGAAAGCTTGAAAAAATCTTTTCCAGGTAATTTTGTATTAGTAACAAAAAAATATTTTAAAGTATTCTGAACATATGTAATTTAAATTAAATGTTTTTTAGATGAAAGTCAGACTGCTCTTCAAAAAGATGACTCTTTTGATGATTATTTTTTGTCAATTGACCTTTCCTCCATAAATGATAATAAACGATTTCAAAGACATAATTCAATGCCTTCTAATTGTAATGAAAATAAATCCAGTGACGCTAGGTTTCCACGCCATGTTAGCTCTGACGATTTTTCCAAAGAAAGTACCTCAACAAGGGAAGCGCTAGTTATCTCGCCAATAAGTGATATTACAGAAATAAGCGTGGAGTCTTTTGATAGCGCTGGTAAGGTTCATTTTGACATTTTGTTTTTTTTTTTATAGTACATTAAATTTAAACTATTTATCATTTAATTTATAACAATTAAAATAAATATGAAATTTAAAAAAATAAATTTTAAAATTTTAAAATAAATTCTGAAATACTAAAAGAATTTGTTTCTAGATTGCAAGATTTTAAAAACTCTCAGAGTAGTTAGTTGACTATTACAAAACGATCTAAATTAAAGTAAAAAATCTCAAAATAAATAAAAAATAACAAAATGTATGTATGTAAATATAATACTTGAAAGAAAATTATTTGAGAATATTATTAAAGCATAATTTAAAATTTCTACTAAAGTCTTGCAAGAGATTTTTTGTCTGTTCTAACACTTTAATACTCGAACGTTCTCCACCTCATATGAAAAAGCTTTTTCATGTGATTGGCACAGATATTTCGTTATAAAGAGCAGTTAATACAGAATATTTTTTTTATAAAATATACTAAAAATTTTTAAAATATTTCAGCGTCGTGTCAGGTAACTGTAAACAAACCTACTAACCGCTGCAGTAAAGAGGAAGTTGAGGCTAAACGATTAGAAGCGAAAAGGAAGAGACTATTAAGAATGAATAAAATTTCAAAATGATAATTGTAATTAAATTGCGATGAAAAAATAAAATACATTATGTATACTTGATTTGTTAGAAAATTTAATTAAAATAAGAATAATTAAAATGATTTTTATGTTCAGGAATTTATAAAAAATCATTGCTTGATGGGAACACCAACTTTTTATTATCATTATAATTATTATTATTTTCTTAAGTTATTTTTGTAAATGTCATTTTTATTCCAAGAATAATAAAATTTGTCCTTACGTAAGAAATTAAGCGATAATAAAATAATACAAGAATACATTCTATTTTATGAAAATTTGATAAACATAAATATATTTACAGTAATGAAAAAAAAATGAATGTTAAACTTAAAGACAATAAGAAACTTAGGAATAAAAAATCTTTATTATTAAAAATTTATGCGTTTTTTTATAGCACACCTGGTGTTTTTTGATATTTTCTAAAATCTAGCTTTCAAATTAGAAATCAGATTTGAAATGAAAATTAGAAATCAGATTTTTTCTTAAATTTTATTTATATATTTTTTAATAAACATTAATTACAATATAAAAACTATAATCAATACAATAAAGAACTAGCTACCAAAGCTACCAGCTCCATAATTATAAAAAACTTTTATTCCTCATGATAACAAAGTTCAAGAAAATTGTTTATCAAAATATCTATGAACTCTTATTGTTATACTCTAAAAATTTTACACAATTTTAAATCAATTTTTATATCTTTAATGATAATGTATAAGAAAATGCTGAAGTGAACTCCTATAACGCTATTAAACTACTTTTAAAAAGATATACATAAATCAAAGCTTTTATAAAAAAAAAAAAATTAACACGTAAGCAGGACTAAAATTTTTGTTTATCATGAAAACGATGACGTAAAAATTTAGTAAGTTGTGTGTGTGTGAATTTAAATTTCCTTTATTATTCCTTTATTATCTCTGAACAGTTATGTACATACATATATGTACATCACTATGTGAAGCGATTCTAAAACTCTTGGCTAACATATTTTTTTTTCTTTCTTTTTAATTACATATATTGAAAATATTGCCGCTTATTCAACACTTTACCCCTATATGAAAATTTTAACGAAACCTTGAAACAACATAATTGTACAGTTATTAAAAATAAAGCTTTCCTTTTATGATGAAATAACGATTTGTTGCCACAAAAGCAGTAGACTAAAGTACATGAAATTGTGGTGTACCAATTGCGCAATTGTCAAACGAAATTTAAAAAAAAAATATATATTTTATGTTAATGAAAACTAAAAAATTTGCCAAAAAGGCAAATAGGTTTTAAAATAATTATTTCCGTTTTTTTCTTTTAAATTAATTTAATATAAATTTTTCTATCATTACTAAATATTTTTTTTTTTAAAAAGTTAAAACTTAAATTCTAAAAATTCAATTATAGAAAAAAAAAAGAAAAAAAATTTAAAAATTTACAAAAAAAACTGTACTATAGCTATATTATAATTAAAAAATTAAATATTTTATAAAATTTTCATTTTTAATATACGAAATTAAATTGAAAAACGAAAAAATATATTTATATACATACACGTATGTTATAATTATTTAAATGTGATTAAAAAATGAATTTATGTGCATAGTAAATATTGATTTATTACAAAAAAAAAAACCATTGACTGTGTATTCTTTCTCTTAATTAATTCAATTTAATTTTTTTTTTTAATTTTTCAAAAATATAATATTGTTCTCGTAATTTATTTGAATTTTCGAGACGAAAAAGAAAAGAAAAAAAAAACAAAGTGATAAATTAATAAGAAGTGCAATGAAATTTTTAATATGTTCCCTTTCGGGAATACTCAATATATATGGACTTCTATGGATTTCTATTTTAAAAATTGTTCTCACAAACAATGGATTTTGTATTGCGGCATCATTTAATGGTAATAAAAATGGAATATTTACAAGTTCATTTCTTGTAAGATTTCATAGGAGTGTAGATAAGGATTTTGTACATGATATTGCAAAAAGAAATGATTTTGAAAATCTTGGACCTGTAAGTTTATTTTAAAATTTTTAAAGATTATAATTATTTATTAATTAACTATAAGGTTTCAATTATACATGAATTTATTCATAATTTTCATTTTCCATGAAAACTGCACATAAATATATGTATGTATATATAAATGTATGTACATATGTTTTATAGCTATATAATTGAATTTACGTATTAATATAGCGTATATATATATACAAAAGACTCTATCATATTGAAAGTATAAGGCTTGTTAGTACTTATTTGCTGGTACATAGAGTGTTTTTTTATGAAAGAAATTTATGTGTATAAGAGATTTTTGACTTATTTTTTTTTTTAATTCGAAATCACTCTTAAAAAAAAATCGAATTTATATGAAGATAAAATTGAAAATCTTTTCATATGTTTTTCAATTTAGTATTCGTGAAAAAGGAGTCAAGTCGCAAAAGAGATTAGAAATAAAGCTTCAATTACTTATTTTGAAACACCTATAACCTATTTAAATATCAAAATCTTAAATTGCATATCCAGTTCGTGATGCAAGAAAGAAATTTTTTTTATATATGCATGGGTACATACTCAATATCTGGAAAAGGATGTTATATTATTTACTAATATAAAAGTATTTGTACCGATTTGTATTACAAAAAAAAAAATTTGAATTTGAAAACAGTATAAAAGTTTTCCATATTTTTTTTTTATAATTAAAAGAATCACACAATTAGAAAAAAAAACAAAATTAATTGTAATAAATTATATATCTAATCTGATATATAGCGCTATATTATATACATATAATACTCATGTATTTCAGTTCCATTTAATTTAAATTTCTAAATAATCATAGAAAATATAAGTATGTATGTATGTTAAATATGTTTTCTGTTTTCAAATAATATTAAAATTTCACTTTTCAAAGATACATATTTATTTTCTAGCAAAAAATATTTTAAAATTTTGGAAGAAATACGATAAACTAAATACATATATATATATATATATATATATATATATATATATATACTATAAATAATATATATATATATAAATATACCTGTTAAAATCAAGATAAAATGTACAACTTCAAGATTTAGTGCAAACGATGCCGGAAATTTGTGTGTTAAATACATAAATGCAATATAATATAAGGGCCGATATTAATTATATAATTTAAACACAAACTCTAAGGAAATTCAAATGATGATTTTGAAATTTAGATGAATTGCACCAATTTAGATGAAAAATGGCATCTGAAAGTTTAATGCAAAATATCATACTTAGGAAAGTAATACCTGAGTTTTCAAAAAACAAATATCTACTTGTTCAAATTATTTGTTTACCGTAAAATCTATTACTAATAATTTTAACACATTGTTGACCGGTAACTAATTGTTCGATTACGAGTTAAATTATTATATTGTTATTACCTACATATCTATTTCAATTTAAGTAATCTTGATAAAAAATTGCTTTCGACAATGTGTTGAGTTGAATTTACAATGTTTTCTTAAATTGGTTTATAAAGAAAACTAATTAGGTATTGCCATACTAAAAAATATAACTTATTTTTTTTGGAGAATAGAGACCAACCGCTCTTACTTTCATTTTTGCTTTTAATTTTTCATATTTTAAAAAATACTCTTTTTTTTCATTTCAATCTAGTTCTGTATTGTTGAGAGTCTTGCTGCAACAGAAGCTTTGGAATTTTTTTAATTAATTTAATAAAAAAAACCAAAAAATTAGTTGGAATCCAAAATATTGGCTATCTTTTTAGATATCAATCAGCTAGCTATAATCTTTATTGATTCGTATAATATTGTAAGAGGTATAAATACAAAGGTTTCGGCTCCATAACAACTAAAATAAATAATTTTATATAGTTAATTTTAATAATATAATAGATATTATATAATGATATAAAAATTGAGCATAATTAAATGAAACTGATAATATACATCTAAGTAAACGTGTAACATCAGTCAATTAAACTTATCATATTTAATTTAATTTTATATAATAATGCATTGTAACAGTGAGACTTTTTGTACATTATATAAGTATACATTAAAATAATAAGAAGTCTTAAATTACAATTAATTATTGGTAAATATACACATCATAAAGATAAGAGTCGGAACAAATGAAAGCTAATATACATATACATACATACAACTATATATGTATACAATTCACACAAGCGAAATAAGTAAATTAGTTATTTAAATTATCTGACGTCATACTGTGTTAAAGGCTGCACATATGGGCATACATAAATATGTACACTTTTTTTGACATTCATACTTACATATATTTAAATTATATAAAATGTATACGTTTTGTCTTATATAAAAATGCGTATATATATATTTTTATATATTCAGATTATATATACAGATTTTACAGAAAAAAATTATATTGTGGAACATTTTTAAAATAAAAGCTTATTTTTATTATTTTTTATTTCGCGCTTTTTATAATTTTTTATTTTACGAATATATATATATATATATATATACATATATTTTTTATTCATAATAAAAGTTTCCCCATTTTATTTTTTTTTTTTGCTTTGTTATCAATTTGTCCTTTTAGTCAATATTGAAATCCTTATTTAACATAGTATAACCTTATTAATATACTGATAAGTTTATTAAAACATGTTATTTGCCCAGAGATACAGCGTACATAGTAGGTATATATCGTATACTTTAAAGCTTTTGATTTATAATAAAATATTTTTTTTAACTCCACATTTTTTTCGAAGTGTGAAATTTTGGACTGAAATCTGTTTTTTTTTTCAGTTTTACCTTTCTTCTTCTAGACGATGAGTTGTAAAAATCTGAAATTAGTATCTTACAGCTTCTACATACTAATATAAATAGTTTATTTCGATAGAAGAAAATTTTTTTCCACCTTGATCCCCTCCCAAGTAATCGCCTGTCAAAATTTGTAAAATTTGTATTTTCGGCACCTTCTTCTGAAACAGTAATTTTTTCAAAATTTCTATAAATGCATAAAGCAAATGGTGAATACCTAGCCATCAAAAAATATAATTATTTATCTCTTAACTCATAGAACTAATCCTTTTATTCACCATTATTTTAACGTCTTCTTAAATTTTGTTCCTGTTGGCCATCCTAAATATACTCGTATACATTCATTTGAAATATTTTGGTTTGTTTAAATTTAAATAATGTAGTAGATTGTTTTTAAAAGTAGTGTTTAACATGTTGAAGGGAAAAGTGCTATTTTAAAAGCCATTGCTTTGATCAAATTATTTTTAAATTTAAATTCTAAACATGAAATATAATCTTAATTTCATTTAATTTGAAAAGAGAAGATTTATACATACATACATATGTATATATTTTGCAGTTTTCAGTCAAAAAAAATTATAAATATAATTTTGATTTAAAAAAGTATAAAATTTTAAATTAAAATCACCATTATATTTATTTTGTTTGCATATAAGAATTAAATTTATATTTGACGAATTATTTTATTCAACTGAGATGCATGAGAGCAATTGATTAGGCATTACATTAAAAAATGTAAGTAAAATGCGCAAAATACGTTCGACACAATATATATATATATATATATATATATCTAAAAACAAACATATGTATGTATATACATTTACATCTGTAAGATTAATTTAATCTTACGTGCTTACGTAGTTTATCAGGACTGTTCATAACGTTTACATATTTCATATTTTTTCATTGTATACATAAGAATATTTTCTTAAGATTCTAAAATACGTACATACATATGTATTTATTGTGTATAATAATGACGTCTTTTTCTTTTACATTCCACTAACAGAAATTTTTTCTTTTTCTTAACATCAACAGATATACCACTTCCTTAACAATATAATACGACGTACTTGTATATAATTATATACAAAATTTTCTAATGGTGCGAGTGAAATATAAAATTTTCTATTATTTACCTACTTGAATTAAGAAACAAAAGAAAAAATCCAAAATCATCACATTTACAACAAACGATAGTACATCTAAAACAAACATAGTAATTTGTATTAAACATAGTAATTATGCGATTGATATTTTTAATCACTTTACAAATTATCAATATTTCACGATTTTTTTTTTCTTTGCCCGTCATATAGTTTTTTTGCCGTATTAAGAGCTTTACCGTAGAATCGTTAACTTTGAGCAGTTTTCGAATTAAAAACGGTATAATTTTTTTATTAAATTAATAAAATATGTACTTTCAAAACTACGTCGAAATATGGGCTCCACTGTGTAGTTTATTGTACATTTTTTTTTCCAAAATACTTATTTTTCTAAGTATTTCTAGTCAAAAAAACATCAGTGCTCAAAGTTATCACACTAATTTTTAACTGTAACTACTTAAGAAATAAGTCGGGAAAAAGTTTATATAACAAATCAAATAAGCCACCTAGTGTCAAAGACTTTTAAATAGAAAAAATTAATTCGTACTGAAAGATACTTTGATTTTACGATAGAAATGAGGCGAAATCTTTCTACACTTTTCTAATTAAAAAACATATTTTTTCGACTCAACAGTTAGTTGTCAAAAAAGATCATTTTTGGTATATTGAGTGATTTGAGAGAATGGAATTATAGAAAAGTCAAAATTTTATGTTAGAGTTACAAGTTTCTAACAAAAGTGTGTTTATGTATTAAATTGTTGAATTGAGAGAAGAAAATTGGACAAAACAAAGATTTTAAGCATATTTATATCAAATATTGTTGAAAATACACTATCTATTAAAATTTTTTTTGAGTGGGTTTTTGTTTTTTTCGTAAGTGCGTTGTAAAAAAAAAAATTCGTATTTAATGACGTGTTGTATTATAATCATTATCATACATCGGAGCTGTCACTTTAATTTATTTGTACTCACACTTTTTAACATAAAATATTTCTCAATATAATTATGTAAATTTATTAAAATACCACCATTATCATTAGTGTAAATGAGCAAAAGCATCATTAATTAATGAATTCAAATTTATTTTTATAGTTACCCGGCAGCTTGGACAAAGAATATCATTTTAAACACAAAATTTTACCACATGCCAGATCTCGAAGGAGTATACCACACACAAGACTATTAAAGCAAATTCCTGAAGTAAGTTAAATTTGTAATTTAGTATTTTTATTCATATATGTATGTACTTGTTGAAGATGCTAAATATTAGCAGATAATTTTGTCTTATACTATATTTAAATTTAATAATAATTAATTTTAAGAAAATTTCCACTTCATAATATCTACATATTCAAATAAATTTTAATGCAGGTACATAGCGTTGTACAACAAACTGGTTTTATTCGTGTCAAAAGGGGTTTAAGACCAGCTGTTCCATCAATACATGGACTTCCATATTCTTCGACTAACGGTGGTTCAGAAACTAGTGGAATAGAACCAACCGATCCTTATTTTCCGTTACAATGGTATTTGAAAAATACGGGACAAAATGGTGGAAAAATGAAATTAGATCTTAACGTACAAGCAGCATGGGATCAAGGAATTACAGGAAAAAATGTTACGACAGCTATAATGGATGATGGTATAACTATTATTTTCATACATACATACATACACATTTCGATATTGATTAATAATCTTGTATTTCTTTATAGGGGTCGACTATATGCATCCTGATATTAAGTATAACTATGTAAGTGTTCGAATTTTTACATTTAAAATATTCAATATGTGAAATATATGAATTTGTGTGTAGGCATACATATTCACATGCATACATAATATAAATCATATACATATTATAGATAAAATTTAAACTAACATACTTACATCATATTTTCAGAATGCGGAAGCCAGTTATGATTTTAGCAGCAATGATCCCTATCCGTATCCAAGATATACAGATGATTGGTTCAACAGGTAAAATGATAGAATACATAAAAAATAATAATGTACATTCAGTGTGTGTTTGATGGACTATATTTTTATGTTTACTCAGTTTATTCAAACCAATTTAAACTTAACTATGTACATATTCATAATATTAACAATTTCATGTCCCTCACTTTGTTGTACAATATAATTTATATTTTTGTTCTTTAAGCCATGGTACAAGATGTGCTGGGGAAGTTGCAGCTGCCAGAGACAACGGAATTTGTGGTGTTGGTGTTGCTTACGACAGTAAAATTGCTGGTAAGAACGAATCAACAGAAAAGTTTTTATACTATATGCGAATTTAATCTGCTAAAAATTAATTATTAGAAAAGACTCGAAAAATTCTCAAGCTACTAAATTTAATAATTAATTTATAGTGATCAATAATTAAGTTTAACAATTACTATTGATGTTCTTCAATTTACGTTACGTTTCATATTCAAAGGAATAAGAATGCTCGATCAACCGTATATGACAGATTTAATTGAGGCAAATTCGATGGGACACGAACCACATAAAATTCATATATATAGTGCATCTTGGGGTCCAACTGATGATGGAAAGACCGTGGATGGTCCGAGGAATGCTACAATGAGAGCTATTGTACAAGGTGTCAATGAAGTATAAAAATATAAAATCAAATTTGTGGAAACAAAAAATAATGTGCATTACTTATCTTTTAAGGGTCGTAATGGTCTTGGAAATATATATGTCTGGGCTTCAGGAGATGGCGGTGAAGAAGATGACTGCAACTGTGATGGATATGCGGCTTCGATGTGGACAATTTCAATAAATAGTGCAATTAATGATGGTCAAAATGCTCATTATGATGAAAGTTGTAGTTCAACGTTGGCAAGTACTTTCAGTAATGGTGCAAAAGATCCAAATACTGGTGTAGCAACAACAGACTTGTATGGGAAATGTACAACAACACATTCTGGAACTAGTGCAGCAGCTCCAGAAGCTGCTGGAGTATTTGCTTTAGCTCTCGAAGCCAAGTAAATGATTTTAAAATTTTTAATTTTGTTTTAATTGAAGTTTTATATTCACACTTTTTATTTAAAACAGCGGTAACTTAACCTGGAGAGATGTACAGCACTTGACTGTATTGACTTCAAAAAGAAATTCACTATTTGATGCTAAAAATCGTTTTTACTGGACAATGAATGGTGTAGGATTAGAATTTAATCATTTATTTGGATTTGGTGTTCTTGATGCTGGAGCTATGGTTACTTTAGCAAAACAATGGCATACAGTTCCACCAAGATATCATTGCGAAGCTGGAGCTATATTGCATTCGAAGTAATTTTTACTAAAACGTAATTATAAACTATTAGAATAATATTAATTTTCTATTTTTTTATGTTTCATAGTCCAATAAAATCTGGGAAATCTCTTTACTTAGAAATAAAAACGGATGCATGCAAAGGAACTGATACCGAAGTTAATTATTTAGAACATGTGCAGGCAGTGGTAACAGCTAATGCAAGTCGACGAGGTGACTTAGAGTTATATTTAACATCACCAATGGGTACAAGGTACGAGTATTAAAAAAACAATTCAATTTTAAATTCAATGTACGTAAATGAAAAGAATTTACTAAATATTTTCAAACTAAATATAGTTTGAATTCTTTTCTCATTTTAAATCCTATGTATAAGCGTTTTATAAATATGATTGTATAAATATAATTGTATAAATATTTAATTCAACATTTAATTCAATTATTGATTACTTGATATTTTTATATAGATCAATGATTTTAAGTCGACGGGCAAATGATGATGATTATAGGGATGGATTTACAAAATGGCCATTTATGACAACGCATACATGGGGTGAATATCCTCATGGCACATGGAAACTTGAAGTAAACTCTTTTGAAATATTTACCAAAATAGTATTATAATGCAAAATTTTAATAATTTGATTTTATAATTTTAGGCACGATTCAATTCTCAACAGCTAAGAACTGGATATTTAAAAGAATGGTCATTGGTTTTACATGGAACTAAAGATCCTCCATATAGAACTTTGTCTCCAGCATCACCACATTCAAAACTTGCAATTGTTAAAAAGGCGCATGAAGACAAAAAAATTCATTAAACATTTTAAATATACGCTTATAATATTTTTTTTATGTTTAATTAATATTTTTTGTTTTAATTTAACCAAAAAAAAGGAAACTATAATATTATATACATGTTTATATAAAATATGAATATTAATAATGTTGAGTATTATTTAATAATTGCCAAAAGTCTTAAAAAAAGTTAAATCAAGTTAGAAGAATTTAAATTAAACTAACAAGATAAATCAACAAAAATTATAAAAATTTAATTCACTTTTTTTGTTGTTGTTATGTTACATAGTACTATTAAGAATTTAATTTTTAAAGCAAATATTAAGAAAAATACTATCTTTGAAATACATGGTATAATTACCTTTGTCGTATTCGCTTGTATGTTTTTTTTATGAAATTCGTTTATATTTGTGCACTTTTTTTGTTACAATAACATTAAAATGGATTCATAATTCAATTTCATTATATGATTTTCATTAAAAATACTAACATTAATGAAGCAAATATATAAATTTTATGTTAATCACACAATTTTAAATCAAATAATTCATCATACTTAAATGAATTAAAAATTTGGGACAACGAAATTTTTCAAATTAAACTTATTCTGCTTTGATTGATTAATATTATTTGATTTAACTGTGCGCCATCTCTTGGATTTAAAAAGTTGCTCATTCAAATAAGAATAAAAAATTAAAGTTTAATTTCTAAAAATATTTTTAATGTTAATACTTCTTATTTTTATATGATAATAATAACAAAATATAAAATAAATAAAAATTTAAAATCCATTTCCAAATATTTACTTTTTTAATAATGCGGCAAGTACGACAAATATTATAGGTAACTAGTTGTGATAGGTTTTCTTGTTTAAAATAATAATAATTTCTGTTTTTTATATTTTTTTTTTATATATTTTAACAGAATGTATACATTTTTTATTGTTGTTATATATATATATATATATACATACATATATGGGCATAAATATTTTTATGCTAAATAAATTAACAATATTGGTATTTTTGAAAATGATATTCTTGAAGTGTATATTATGTATTTTTGCATTTTTACATTAAAATGAAATTTAAACACAGCATTAGCTTTTTAATTTCCCAGCAGTAAGAATTTCATTTTCAAAAATATTAATAATATCAAAAATATGCAAATTTATATCACAAAATAAAAGTTATCTAATTATCTACCTTAGTATAATATCGAAAAAAGAAACACAAAAAATGTAAAAAAATACAAATTGTGCATATTATTAAATAAAAATATTTTAATTTTTTGAAACCCCAAAAATTTAAAAGTTATTAGATTTATTAAAATTTTATATTTTCTATAAGTTCTTTAAAATATATTAAATAAGTAAATTGAGATTACATTTTAATATCTTTTTTTAATAATATTAAAATAATAAATCAACCATAAAACATGCAACCATATAAACATGTAAAATAAATGAATTAATTTTTAATTATTTATAACATTTAAACATATTACATATATTATATGAACATCTTAAATCAACTATATATTAAAAATATAAACTTATATTTTAAAATTAAAGAGCATTCGCAGTTTAAAGTATATAATTTATATAATAAATACAGTCGAACTCGCGTAAAGTGTAAAAAATTTTATGTTTTCGCACTTTAAACTGAAAAATTGGAACCTATATAACCTCCAATAACCTTCTAATTTCAAAATAATATTTTAGTATAAAATACGAAAAAACATAAAAATATAACCGGTTAATCACAACAAAAATATTTAAAAATTGTCAGTTTTTAAAATTATTCACATTTGAAACAAATGAATAAATTAATTACAAAAATGAATGAATTAATTTAAAAATATGTTATTTTGAATTTATAACATAAAACTCTCTGTTATATGTATTGCAATGTAACGTGACCCAATAATTGCAAAAATTTTGCATTTATCCGATGCCTTTATTATTTCCAAAAACCGGTTAACTACAAGAATTTTTCTTGTTTTTTTTTTATAGTTTGGTAATTATCCGGGTCCGGTTGTATTTATGAAAATATTATCAAAATAAAAATATTTTCGATATTTTATATTACGTTGTTTTCGTTAAATAATAAAATATTTATTATATAGATTCTACAATTTATTTTTATATAAGTATTACTGTATCTTAATTAAAATATTATTATATTATTTAGGGTGAAGAAAGTTCAATTAAAGTTATTTTTTAAAAAATATAAATATATATATATATATATATATATAACATTTAATAATAATTGTTTAATTTAATTTAATCAAACATTCATTAAATGTATTTAGTAACATTATACGTGTAATTATTTACATTTTTTTTTACTTTAAAACCTTATTTTAAAAATCTAAATGTTCCCAAAATATGCATTTAATATTTGTTAAAATATAAATATCTATATATGCATATATATCTATATATTTATATATATATATATATATATATATATATATATATATATATGAATTTAAATTATATATAAATAAATAACAATAGATGACAAGAAAAAATATATAAAAAAAAATGTTTATGTAAATAGGAAATGATAAAAATACATTTTAAATAAAATACATAAGATATGTAAAATATCATAATTAAATGTATATATACATATATGTACATGTATATATATATATATATATATATATATACAAAGAAAAAGAAAAAAAAAATACACCAATATCTATTTGACTACTTGGAACTTTGAACATATCCAGCCTATGTTTAATGTTCTAATATTGAAATAATTTTAGAAAAAAAGACAAAAGTTTTAATGCTTTTGCACTTTAGAATTAATTTCTAGAAATTATTATTATTAAAAATAAAAATTAAAAACTAAAAAAAATATTACAATTATTATTATTGTTTTTAAAAAAATAAAAATCATTAAATAAAAATGAAAAAAGGAAAATCAAATCATTTTAAATAAGTAAAGTATCATATTATATACATATATATTTACCATAATCCGTATTTTTCTACATATACATACATACATATTATATGCTTTTTATTTATATATATATATTATATATATACTATATATATATATATATATATATATATATATAAACATACTGTATATACTATATATATATATTATATAGATGTACTATATTATATTGAGTTTCCATGTAATGGAATAATTAAATTTTATTGGGATTGGGATAGCTCGATTTAAAAAGAAAAAACTAAGTATATAAAAAATTTATCTATGTAAATTAAATTATATGTATTGTACATTTATATGAAAATTACATAAGTATATAAATATGTGTATATAAAATATTCTTGTTATTTATTAAATTATATTTTTTTTTGATAAAAATTATATTGATATTATGTATGTGTTAATATGTATTTTAATATATATATATAGAATATATATAGAGATGTATCTGTGGTGATAAATCAAAACTATTTAAGTGAAATATTATGCATCCATATTCTGTTAGTCGCCTTACTTGAAGTAGTGGGTTATTTATAAACACATTAACTTTCTGAATAAAATCAATTCCAAAATTCAAAATTCTATACGAAAAAACAAAATTTTTTACAAATAACAAACAAACCCATACTTAGGTCAAGTACTGCACAAAATAAATAAAATAAATAAATAAATGACAATTAACAATTTTTATTAAACAATTTGATTTTTTGCTTGATTTATAAATTCTTTAATATCAGAATTTTTTTTTTAAACTTGGGCAGATGTTGGAAATTTTATTAAGTTTAAAAAAAAAAGGGTGCCTATATTTCACTTTTATTTGATTACTTTAGAATTATATCCACCGAATGGAACCAAATTTAGCGGGATGAATATGGGGAATTTAAATACCATATTTAATTATTTCAATTTTATGATAAGTCTATTTACCCAGTTTTTGTCTTATAGCCACAGATTATGTACATATATATATATTTATGTATATATATATATACATATATATGTATATATGTATGAATATATATATATATATATATATATATATATATATGAATATATATATATATATATATATATATATATATATATATGTGTATATATATATGAATATATATATATATATATATATACAAAAATATTAATATTCATTTTATTTATGTATATAGCAACAAAATAGATCTATGAAAATAATTATATATATACGAATGTCCATATGTACCATATATGCATACATTAAGAATTTGTATTCCTATATAATTATTTTACATAGAAATATTATTTTGTTCTTATAAATTTGATAATTTTACATCATAATATAATTAACTGCGTTTAGCCTTTATTTGCAATAAATTGAATTTGAATGAATTATTTAAAAATTTTATTTGAATACCGCATACAATAAATTATACATTTGTTTTCGTCCAAATATATATACATATATATTTATACATATTTATACATATATGTATGTATCATATACAGACATGTGGACATGTGTTACTAGGAAAGTTATTGTTGAACAATTTTTTAAACAGAAATGAAATTTTATTGTTAATAAATTTATTGATTAAAAAAAATGACTATAAATAATTGTTATATAAATAGTTTACAAATACTTAATTTTTAATATACGTACATATTAATTCGAATATTAAATTGGAATTAAATTGGTATATACATAATTATATATTATTTTATAGTTGTCAATTTGAACATGAAATATTTTGAAAACTGAATTTATAACTATTTTTTTATTTATACTACATTATATTTCTTGTACACTTTCATTTTGCGTATAAAAAAATCTTAATTAATTTAATTTTACATTATTTATTTACATTATTTAATTGTTACATTATTTAATTTAATTTTATTACAGAATTGTAGACGAACGTTAGAAAAATAAAAATGAAGGCTAATATAAAATTTATGTAACATAATTTTTTAGATGGAGAGTTTCCTAAAAAACAGAATTATATGTTTTATTATAAGTACATATTTGACTAGTTTAATTTTAAAACATCTTTGAATTCAATTGAACCACCAATTAACTGGAGTGGAATACCACCAACTTGTTACCTTTTTTAAATCTAGTTGGTTGCTTTATTTTAAAATGTTATACTGAAGGATTCAAATCTTAAAATTCACTTTAACTATAGAGAAAATAATAATACAAATTAAATTATGTAAATATTAAATTATATTTTCTATAAAAGTTTTTAGTTATTTCATAAGTTTAAATATCTGCAGCGAAATAAATTTAATACCAATATTTTATTAATTTTAATAAGACTTCATCTCGAAACATAATAATGCTTTGCTGGATCAATCAAAATTATATTTTATTGCGACATTTTATTATATATCATAGACTATATTTCTTTTCCATGTATATACATACATATACTTACCTTTAAATTAATAATATGTATATATTGAAATTTTACATACCATATGCACATATTTATATATGCATGTATATATTTATACACAAAATATATACATAAATAATATACATACACATCAGTATATGATAAGTATTAATTTTATCAAAAATAAATAAAAACAAAATAATAACAAGCAAGTATAAAATAAATTTATATACACATATAATATATGTACATACATATATAAAAACACATATAATTTCTCAATATATATTTTAGTATCAAATAAAAAAAGGAAAAAATGAAATTATTTTTTGAATAAATTAAAAAAAAAAATGGAAAATATTAAGTTTTTGTCTTTTAATTTAAAATTTTATTTAAATAGCCTTCAAGAGAAATTAATTAATTTTTGTCATTATGGCAAAAGAAAAGAAGATGAAAAAAACAAGAAATAAATAAATAAATTGATATGTGTTACAATTTAAATGTATAAATTTATCTACAATATTTTATAGCTCAAAAGGTTACAATATATATACATATACATATAGAGCACCCTGTAATTTCACTATAGTATTATTAGTTTGTATACTTTTGCTTCCTCTGTTTTTAATTTTTCGGGGGCCAAGATTTTTACATTGAGAAAAATACAAAATAGTTGTAAAAATTTATTGAATAAATTGAAATAAATAAAATAATTGTTTTCTGTATCATGATTATATTTTCTATGCCATAAAAGTTAATGTAAATTATCCAAATAAATATATTTATCATATTACATACTAAATGTGTTTTATTTTTGCTTTATAATTATTAACATTTCCTTTATAATTAATTTACCACAAAAACAAACTCTAGAATCCCTTTAGCTTTAGTAGTTAAAGCGGAAATCGCTAATTCCGGTAATTGAATTTTTTTTTTAGGTGATCTAACTTTGGTATACAGTAAATTTTCTAACCTAAATTTTGATTAAGAAGTATCAAAAATTTCATTATGTTTCTTTACCATGACACTGCAAGGCAGAACTGCATTTTAATTTAATGCTCTGAACATAATTGGATCCGCACTTCAAAACTTCAAATTTTAATAACTCAATTATATCAGTTTCAACGCTTTATAAAACATAATAAGGCTGCAACAATAAGGTTTAATAATAAATTATACTGTTAAAATCAGTAAAATATGGCAGACAGCACTTGCAAAAATAGAAAAGAAAACCAATTTTGAAGTTGCAGTTTGTGGTTGCAGTTTCATTGTCTGCGATTCTGTTTAATAGCCCCCCAGAAGTTATATTTTTTTCTTCAGTTGTCAAATTTTGTAGCTTGACGCCCCAATATGTTTAGGACAAAAAAATGTTTATCAAACGAAATGTTTATCAAAACACAATGTAAAATGAAAGTTTTTTTGTTTATATTTCATTTATGTAAATATTAATTCATATCCATGTTCCATGCAAATAGACGCACGCAAACCGTTGTTTAATCAAGAATATTTTATTGTATTTCTAAAAATTTTTAATAATAATTCAAATAAAACAGCGTTTTTTGTTTTTTTTTTTACATGACATATTGTATTTTTATTAGAAATTTTAAATTTACACAAAGTATAAAGACCAACTTAATTACGCAAAAAAAGGCATTTGAATAATTTACGTTTAAAATAAATATAAATAAAAAAATATATAGATGATGCTTTCAAAAACATTGTCCTATAATTTATAATAATATGCATTATGCGAATATTTTTATTTTGTATTTATATAGACTCCAAAATATATTTGATGAATTTGCTTGAAGCTATTGCTGGAATCAAGTTGCTGACTTCCAAAAACAATATAAGAAAGCTTTTCTGCGGGCCACCCAGTCAACTTAATTCCAGGCACCGCCACAAGCTTAAAACGTTAAAAATGAAAATTATAATTTCATTCATATGTATTTTTTTTTTAATAATCTTAAGATAAAAAAAATATATATTTTATTTTATTTTATGTTTTTTTTTGTCAAACTTTTATACTTCTATAATAAAATTGTATAAAATAATACATTTTAAAAGGTAAATTGATTGTTTTTGGCATTTCATTTTTATTTTTTATTTTTTTTTTTAATATTTATAATTATACTATATTTTTTTAGTAACATTATTTCTTTCTATGTTTATCTATATATTGCTTATAATTTCAGTTTATTTTAATACAATTAACTCGATAGTCGAGAAATAACATAACATATTATGGATTTTTTAATAATTAATTATATAATATAATAATATATTGACACAATACAAAAACAAAAACTGTTTAGCGGAATTTATGAAATTCCAAAATTAAATTTTTTTATAGCGGTATAACTAACTTTAGCCCATTACCTTCAGTTCCAGGCCAATAAAAATTGATTATTAAATTTCTTTATTTTTATATTTATTTATTTATTTTAAATTGGTGTAATATTTATGTGTGTATATCATGAGACCAAAATTTATAATGCAAAATATAAATAATGTTAGAAATGTGTACTAAAACACGCGTTAATCATATAAAACCAATTATACTTTAAAAATATTGAAGAACTTGCTAACAGAAATAGCAATACAGATGACAGTATTATATGTCAGGGATCCGGAGTCAACTGAAATAATGACATAAATTGTATAATAACAATAAAAATAAATTTTTTGAACTTTATAATATCCATTCTATGACAATTTGCAAAATAAATAATTATAATTTGAAAGTGGCTCATAATTTACATTCACTTTCGTAACAGCATTTCGCTGATTATTTACAATTATTATTTTTTTTCACAATTCTCACTAAATATGGTAAAATAATTTTAATATTTATCTGCAATTTTTACTTTTATTATTATGCAATGAGAATATAATAATCAAATAAAATAAAAAATTTTCTTATTTTACTATACTGTCAATCTAGTTTATCTGTATCTTTTTCTATATTTTTAAACAAAGAAGAAAATTAAATTTATAAAGTTAGCAGGGAAAAAATTTAGTTTGAAAGAAAGAAAATAATATTTCCACATACATATACATATATTATAGAGACTATGTACAAAATAATTTGTCATAATTTGACCAAAATTCGGGTCATATAGTTCTATTGCAAAAAGAAATAATCTCTAAAGAGTCGACCTTAGCAAAAAATTAGATATTCAAATTTTTTTTTCCAAAAAAAGTTTTTGTGTACTCATCGTTTACACTACTTAATAAGCTACTGAACATACATATATAAGTTATTAGAAAATTCGATAATCGGCAAAGTTTGAAATGAATGAAACAATACATTGGATGACCGTAAATTACTAAAAAGGAATAACATAAACGTAGTGATAATAAATTTATCGCTAAGTATTTTCAATTGCAAAATTGCAAATTGCTAAATATTTTCAATTGCGTTTATTGCAAAATTAAATTTTATTTGAAATCTTCTTACATACTCCATGGAATAATAAACAATTATTACTTAGGCCTTTAACATAATTGTAAAAATATAAAATTTGAAGTAAAAATCTAAATAATAAACTTTAACGTCTAAAATTTGTTACAGGCTTAAATTTTGTAAAAAATTTACAAAAATAAGAGGAAACTGCTATCTTTATATACTCGTAGAAGTAAAATCCTCAATTCAAATAACAACTTTTTAGCTTTGCCCTAATGAAAATTTTTGTTTTTCCTCATGTGAAAATAAGCAGTAATTAAATTGATATAAGCAGTATTATAAGAGAAAACGATTTCCCACGGCGAAATGTCAGAATTCATATAGAATACACGCATTTCAATGCGACCGCTTAAAATCAAGCGAAGTAATCGTCGCGGATTTAACCACCTAGCGGTAAAATAGTTTGAATTTCTATTTTGCCGCTTGCAGTTTTTTTTTTGACATTATCTGTCTCTCCGCTGTTCGCTTCGCTGTTGTTCTCGTTTTACAATGAATATCGTCCGCCGTTTTAGTTCACCTTTTTGGTTCTATTTTTACAATAAGCGATTATTCCTTTTTTGCAGTAGATATATTATCCGTCTTGAATTTTTTAGTGAATTTTTTGTTCTAAATTTATACATATTTTTCACTCAAATTTTATATTGTATATGTACATATATATATAAATATGTATGCAAGTGTAAAATCAAAGTGGAAACTATTAATATTTTTATAACATTTTGGTAACAAATATTTTAGTTAACTTTTCTTTTTAAAATTGTTTTCTTTTTTAAGAAAAATAATATTAAATACCTAATTATTATATATACATATAAATAATATTTTATTTATTATTACAGTATATTTATATAACAAAATTGGTGTGCACATAACCCATATATGTAGGTTATGTAAATTTTCTTTGACAACAACAAATATTACAATTTTTTCTGTATTTTTAAAATAAAAAAGAAAAACTCACTGACATTTATTATTGCTTTAAAGTATAGTTATATGTATATATGTATATATATATAGTAGCCAAGAATTTTAGGCCTAACATTTTTAGTATTGTATAATAAGAATGTATATTATGCATATTACGCCTGATTTGATGCTTAAAATATATTGAATTGAGCTTAACTTAAACCAATTGATATGAAAGATAAGAGATGTATAGGTAACAATTAGAAATACATAGGTAACTTAGCATATTTTCCGTTACCCAAGAGGGTAGAAGGGGCACATTAGTTCCTTATATGCGGTGTTACTTCAGTTGTACAAATCTTCGAATCTGAAAATTTAATACATAAAAGAAACAATTATCAATCTTAATATTCATGTGTTATTCATTGCTTATACGATATTTTGTTACTGTTGAATTTAGGAAAAAAATTAAAATTTATTGCTTATATGTTGCTCATCTTAAAGTTTAAGTTAACTCAATATATAACACAATTAAATTTTTGGCTTTTCTGAGAACTATTCACATTTTGAAGTTGATTTAAATTGATTTTTGTTTAAAACTTGTTTAAAATTCCTTCTGTAGGGAATTCTGTAGTCGAAAATAAATTAAGCATCAATGCATAATATAAGAAAATGATATATTAATGGTATTCTATGGTTCTACTATATTAATATGGTATTATGCGACTGTATGGATGTTGGAGTGGAGAGAGAGGGCGGTGGTAGCTACTTATTTTTAAATTAATTTTATTTCAAAAATCGGTTTTCTATTTTTTTTTTTCGATGCGACGAATTAATTATAGATTTAGTAAGTAATCGATGTGTCAATTATTTTTAAAATATACAATTTAAATAATATTTTAACAGTTTTAATTAAAAGATGTTTAATTTTTTTTTCAATAAATTATAGGTTTTCTTTTTTGATAATTATTGGGGTTGTTTAATATTTTTTTTATTATATTTAAATCTAATTTTTTTTTAATATTTTAAAATAAAGCTTTACTTCTAAAATGATTTTAACTTAATAATAACAATGAATTTATCTTATAATTATATTTATTAATAATATTATCTATAATATTTTATTATTTACTTATAATTACTACAACTATATTATTTTTTTTTTGTTTTAATTTCATTCTTATTTATTATCGTCATATTTTTTTTTAGTTATTGTAATAATGTAATTAATTTTTAATTCATTCTACATATACTTTCCCTAAAATTTTTTTTTGTGTGGTGTTTTGATACAATCTTTTATTCTCTTAATAATAATTGCTAGCAATTTGGTCGAATAATATTATAATAATTTTATATATAAACTACATTATTTTGATACATTACATCTTTTATATACATATATAGTGTTTGTTTTTTTTTCACATTAACTATATATGTATATATATATATATATATTATATTTATTTTCTTTATTATAAACTTTCAGCCAGCTGACTTGTTCTTGGTTGTGGATGAGAGGAATTTAAATAGCTCTCCGAATAAACACTTTTGGCTCGATTGTCATAACGCAAACTTGTTCGTCGGATATCTAAATCTAATGATAGACGATGATTATGTCTCCAAGAACAAAATATACAATTTAGAGTACTACGAAAAGCTTCACGGAAATCTCTATTAAAGTAAGCATATATGAGAGGATTTAAAGTAGAATTGAAATAACCAATCCAAAAAAGGACGGCTACAACAACATCTGGGCATGGACATGAATCACCACAAAGTGTTGTAATAACATACCTAAAAATAAAATATTTGAAATTTAATATATGTTATATATCTATATCTATTTGAAATTGTTTCTTACCATAAAAAGAAGGGTAACCAGCATAATATAAATGTTCCCATAATAATTCCTAACGTCCTTGCAGCCTTATGTTCTCGTTTCATTTTGATTAGGTGCTTATCCTTAGTAGGAGTATGTTCTGATTCTATTTCATGTAGAGTAAGTGTTTTCGAGGAGCCTGATCCACTAAGGGCTTCACCTTTAAATTATATAAAGAATGTGATTACGAATTAATTTCCAATGTCAATAAAACATATTACATTTGTTAAAATATTTTTGTTAATTTGATAATGTGTTTGAAATTTATTTCTGATTTCATATAGAATTAATTGTTATATGAAGTTAATTACATACATTTATGTATTTTACTTTTCTCGATTCTTATAATTTATTAGCAAATCATTATTATAACTAGAAATTTGTTTTGATTTTAGCTTTCTAAATGAATGTTGCATACTTTTAGGGACAATTAAAGAATTTTTATATTATATTTTGAATTTTGGAATATGTGCTTGTATTTCTAGAACCAAATTTTTTTGAGCAAGCTGAAAACTACTACATTATTTATACATTATACTGTATACAAAAAAAAATTATTTTGATATTGTATAAAAGAAGAAGAGCTTTCTGATTTTGTGTATAATCGGATTTCGTTTAACAACTTAATGATTCTTTTATACATTTGCAATTGTATGTAACAATTTTTAACAAAATTTATATACATATAAAATGAAATTTTAAAAACAATATTTTTTTTTAAATTATATTTTAATACCCAAAATTAATAAAAAAAAACATAAAGACATATATAAATCGCGTTAATCTTACCCTTACCGTTGGTTCCAATACTACCAACACCAGTTCCACTTGTTGAATGCCGATGCATTAACATTGCATTTCCTTGTCTCATTGCCAATTGTTTTTCTTGACGATTTGCTTCTTTAAATATTGCATAATAAGTGAAAATCATTATGGTACAAGGTATCCAAAAAGAAATTGAACTAGATACAACAGCATATACTTTGTTAACTACAAATTCACATTTATCTGGATTTTCAATAACAAAAATTTTATGTGCTTCTGTTGTGTACCAACCAGCAAATATTGGTACAAATGATAATAGAGCTGGTGAAATCCATGTATTTAGAATTAATGCTGCAACAACAGTTTTTGTCATATTTATTGGATATTTTAATGGTTTTACAATGGCATAATATCTAAAAATAAAATAAAAAAAAATTAAAAAATAAAATTGATAATTGTTTTTGATAATAGAATTTTATTAAAAATTTTGTTAATATTTAATAAAGGAATTGTATTACATAAGAAATACCTGTCAACAGATATGCAGCATAAATGAAGTATACTTGCTGTAGAGAAGTATACATCTAAACTATTCCATAAATCACATAAAAAAGGACTGAACAACCATCTAAAAAAATTGCATTTAATTTTTTTTTGATTTAAGATAAATATTTTTTTTTGTTTTCAGTATTCTAATTTATTAATTTATTATATTATGGAAAATTAATTATTATTTTTTATTTTAATATACGTTTATATTGGAAAAAGGAAATGCTAGACAATCATGAGAAATTTTAGATATAAAAGATTAAAAGTTTTTTATATCTAGCTACATTATGCATCTAAAAGTTGATTATGGCTTAATATATACGTTGCAAGCTTTAAACGCAATAATGTAAGATATTTAAATTTCACTATAGGAGTGCATATAGGAATAATATACCGAGAATAATAGCGTCAATCATATTGCAACCATAATCTGGCATTAATTTTAAGGATGATGTAAATTGTAATATTAATGCTATTTCGTTTTTTCTATTTTTTACTATTATTTGCCGTACAATATAATATTCAATAATACTATTTGAAATTCGGGATATCAAAATTTTAGACCATTAAATTTGACTTCATTTCAATCAAAGATTGAATTTTTATTTATTCCATTCTTCGCTTAAATACATACTTAGTAAGTAGCGAATTCACTTCTTATTTCTTAATTCAGTTGCTATTTTTGATAATTAATGATCATTAGATAAAAGTCTATATAAAAATTAGGTACTAATTTGCCATTTTAAAATTCGTTTTTATTTTATTTCGGTTATTAAAACATAATTAAAACCAATGTAGGTATATTTAAATGATATTAATATAAATTAGTTTTTATATATATATATACATAATTATTTTAATTATTTACCTGCCGGTTACTTGGACACTAAAATTAAATGTCATAGCCATTATTGCAACCATTATATCAGCCATTGCTAATGAAACTACAAAATAATTTGTAATAACTCTAAAAAAAGGAAAAAGGAAACAAAGTAAAAAATAAAAAAAAAAATATTGATAAGTATAGTTATATTACAAACAATACATGTATATATATTAACAATAGATATATATATATATATACACACAATTTAATTATAATTGTTAAATAAATTATTCTCTTTCGTTTTTTTTTCAGAAATTTCCTATAAATTTACATAGTAAAAATTACACCATATCAATGCCAATGATTTCATTGTAGAAACATTGATATAACAATTCTCTTTATATATATGTATGTAAATGATTTAAGCCCATCATATCAATTAAAATCAATCAAATTTTATTTACACTTCTCTTTGTCATTAAGTTTTTATAAATTTTAACATATCAATTAAGTTGTAAAATTATAAGATCAATCAATAATTTCAGAAATTTAAATATTAATATTGTATTTTTGTTGTTAGTGGGAAAATTAAAAAAACCTTTTATAAATATATTTTTTGATGCTTTTGAAAATTTTCATGCCAAATATAAAAATACCATTTCAGCATACATATATATTTATATATACATATTAATTTTGTATATTAGTTAAAAGAGAGCTGCCAAAGAGTGAAGTTTCAAGAAATTATAAGAAATATTTAAATAATATAACAGTTTTTTTGCCATATTATATAACAGTTTTTTTGCCATGTTGAGCCATTTCTTACAATAATTGGTAGTTGATCTTAATTTCTACATTGAGTGATTTGGTGGGTTTTTTGATTTTTTACATAACACAAAAATCTACCTCAAAGTAATTTTGTAAATGTAACGTTAACATTTATGGAAATTCTGTTAAAAATTTAGGAAGTAAGAGAAAAAACTGAAATCAGTAAATTTAAATTTTACAGCTTTCACGTTTGTAATTTCCTTTCATTAAAAAAATAAATATAAGCACCTACCGGAATAAATTTTTGGTAAATACTGTGTTTTAAAATTCTATTATGACATAATGATTTTAAATAGTTACTATCCTTCATATTCTAGAATTTTAGAAATTATGTATGCGTTTAAAAGTGAAATTATTAAGTTTGACATCTTCTTTTTTTTATATATATTATTTTTGTTGTATACAGTCAAATACGCTTAATTACAAAATGCTCATAAGGAAAATTTCTTTATATGCACAAAATATTTTCCCAATACATAATTTCTTTAATTCTTCATATTATTTGTGACGCTTTACTGAAACTAGCTTAATAACATAAAACTTTTTTAAACAAAAAAAATTTTTAACAGTCTTTAGATTCATACAAAAATTTTAGTTTATAAACACAAATTTTTGTTCTACAGAACAAAAGCAAAAATATTTTCGGTTATAAGCACAAGCAATCTGCCGGCAAGTACAGAAAATATAAATTAGAATTCAATTTTATAAAGTGTCTATACTAGCTATATACAAATTATTATTGACAACAAAAAGTAAAAGATGCAGAAATTTAATTTTTTGAGTAGGAAAGAGACGGTAATACGAGTGCAAAAAATTTTGCCCAATAGGTAGTGCTCATAAGTGTGTTCGACAAGCAAATTAAAAATTTCTCTTTTAAGACAGTTAAAACTAAATGACAGTTTACAAATTCGAATTCCATAAAATTTTTTTTGTCAAATAAAACTGAAAATTTGAAATTTTTAAATCTGAATTTAAGTTATCTGCACGTTTAAATGTTATACATAAATTTGTTTTTTAATGCTAAATTAATAATCGCACACTACAGTAACCATACTGTAAAAAAACATTCGAACAGTTTTGTTTAGCTCGCCAAAAATATGCCATACAATTTATATTTTTGTTTTTGTAGATGACGCGAATAAACTATTTTTATTTCATTTTAAGTTATTTTTGTTTGATACCTACTTATTTTTATTAAATTTTTGTGTTCTTTAACACAAATGGAAAGAGATAGAAATATAATTTCTTATAAGAAAGATAATTTCTTTATCTAAAATTTTTGTTTAACAACGGTTCTTTAATTCTATATACTCTTTTTTTTTGTATATTAATTATAATATTTATTACTTTTGAATTTTACTAAATTCATATAGATCAAGACGACAACTCTTTCAAACAAAATTTTATCCAAGTATTATCGCTCATAATTCTTAATTCGTTCTAATTAAGATTTTATGGAATTTATTGAAGCTGCTAATAATTTTCATTTATATTCTTATCAAGGTTGATTGCAATAATATGTTTTTGTAGTTTTCATTTTATTTTAGATTAAACTACATTATTTATACCGCAATTTTGGAATGAACGGTCACAATTAAAATTTACTATATAATATTTTTACGATATTAGAAAATTATCATAATATGTATTTCAAAATTAGGATACTGGTTTCCATAACTGTCACTCGTTTCAAGAAGTGAGACAATTAGAGGTGTATGAAAACATAGGGTTATAAAAACTCACATCTCATGTTACTATAATACCGAATTTGGTGTTGCGTCAGTGTTCTTCTATATAGCCAATATTTCGTTACATATGAGATAATTATATTTGAGCGTTATTCAGTATTGGTCTATTTGAAATATTAAAATATTTCAAATTTATATAGAATAAATTATTTTCTATATAAATTTCAAATTTGATCAATTTGATTAATTGGATAAGATGCGGGATGCCTTAAAAATGTGACTAGATTGGCATAAATTAAATTATAAATTTTTTCATTAAATTATAAATATTTTTCTAAGTAAAATTACACTACCAAATTTTTTTACTCTGTAACTACCAATAATTCCGCTTCAAGATTCTTTTGAGACAATACCATTAATCAATGAAGAGTGTACAATTTATCCTAATTCACTCCTTGGATGAAGAATAGGCTGGAAAAAATAGTACTGGTGCATGATATTGTAAATAACCATGAACCAGTTACTTGTACCATTGAGTTTACTAAGTAAGTAACGAGCCTACCGTGACAAAATTACCTAAAGATAACATTTCTTAATTGACTCTATTCAAATTAAAACAAACTTACATATATTCAAATACAACATATTCATTTAATTGACATTTGGAATTTGAGCAATGCCACACTATAATAAGATATTTCTCGTTTAAAGAAAAATCTGAAAATTGTTATTTATACGAGTATTTTGATATTTGGAAATATTAAAATAATTTTTTTGGTTTTACAGAAAATTGTTCATTTTCAAAGAAAAATTTCGAATTTTATGAAATTATAGGTCCTTTTGAAAAAAATGTGGCTGAGTATTAAAACAATTTGTTTTAACTTAACAGTGTCCACATTGACAAGATGGTGTCCAAATGGTATATTGTGCCCAAACTTATTTATTTATTTAAATTTTAATTTTAAACCTTTTCTTATCCCTACAATCATTAACTGAATTCATCATAGAAATTTTTTTAAACCCTATCTGCATGTTTTATTCTATATATACTCAACACAAAATTTATATTATATATAGATATATGTACACATTATACTAAAATGGAGAACATTTAATTTTATTTTACTTTGACAAATAATTTTCTTTTTTCCCCGTTTATATTTATTTTTATGAAACAATAAAAAATATGAAAAAATCAACATTTACTATCATAATTTTAAATATTCTCTCAAAGCAAAAATTAAAAATTAAAAAAAAAAAAAATGTTTTTTTTTTAATTAAACAATCAACCAAACGGAAAAAATTACACACACTCACATCCAGATTTATTTTAGCTTCTTTTTATTTTTTATTCTTATAATTTTATCTTTTCTTTTTGAGTGATTTGTTAATGTCAAAAATATTTTTAGATTATATAAATAAAAAAAAAAATTTGAATGTGATTAAGTATATAAAATTAGTTTTTTCTTAATAATAAAAAAAAACAAATTTAAATCATAAAAATTTACCAACCTTAATTTTCTAACTCGCATCACAGATATTATAACTAATAAATTACCAAAAATTGCAGCTATTATGATGCAAACCATAATAATAGATTTTATTATTAATATTGCAGTATCAATCCATTCTGAATCTGTTGTTATTGATTCAGTTTCAATAATATTGGTCGAAGCTATATTAATAATTGGTGTTGTAGCTACAATATCATCTAGAAGAACTGATTTGGCTTTCATTAAAGTTGAAGGAGGAGGACCAGTTGAACCATAAATTGAAGACATATTATTTATTAATGAAGCTGATTGTATATGTGATATTTCATTATAAAGATTCATATTTGTTGACCTTGAAAGTTTTTTTTATGAATTTGGTATTTTTTTTTTATTTCTTTATTTTATTTTGTTTTGTTTTTTTTTTTTCAATTATAGCTTAAAATTTTTATTCTTTCATTCAAATTTTTTCTCTATACATACATATATAATATTGTAAGTAGCTTTGGTATGGTAAAAATTTCTTATTTATTTTCTTATATATTAGAGATTATTTTAATGATAATCTTTTTGATACATTGACAGTGTTATGCCAATTTTATTAACAATATTCTTCTGATAATTTAAAAATAATAAACACCAATGTAAGCATATTAATTTATTGGAACTATTAAAATAATTTTTTTTCTCTGCTACTTTAATATTTTTTATCAATTTAAGAATATTATTTCTGTATTCGTTCTTAACGGACAAATGTCTTTTTGTCTTGAATGTTAAAAATGACTTCATGCTATTGGAGGAAAAAATCATCATGCTGACATTGCCCAAAAAAAAAACAAAGAGAAAATGCTGAAAATAAAAAATCAAATATTAAAATAACAAATATAAATTTTTTGATGTTCTTAAATATATTTATTGTTAAATATATATAAATTTTTTTTTTTATTTAAATAGAACACATAGAATCGTTTATTTTAAATAGAAACATATACCCGTTTATAATATTTTATATATATAAAAATGTATATAAAATATTAGAATTATTAATATTGATAGTATAAAGTGTCAGAAGAACGAGTATAAGAAATTCAAAATATAATTTATCAATTCTATTGTATTTTTAGAGTAGATTACTTTCTCATATTTTATTTTCTAATATATATATACATATACAAGCATATATGTAGCTACAATATTAATATTCAAGTAGTGAAAAATTTAAATCAAATTATAAATTCCAATATTTTCAAAATTTTATAGTGTATCGTGTATATAAGATCAATATAAAAAAATGACTACGATAGCATTTTATGGCGTATTTTTTTTCATAAAAATTTTTGTTATTTTTGTTAGTATATTAGGGTTTTAAAACTTGTAGAATAAATATAAAATTTTTTAGAACTTTCATAACAAAAAACTTATATATAGAATTAATATTATAAAAAGCATAAAATAAGAGCGTAAAATATAGAATTAAATCGAGTTTTGACATTGTTAACGGCATGTGATATAAATTTAAAAATAAAAGCAATCAAGGATCGTTCCTGATATTTTGATAGTTTATATATGTATGTAGCATAATATAGTTTTTGAAATCTAGCACATAGGCAGAATTTGAAAATCTAATGATTTGAAAATCGTAAACAAAGTCCTGAAACGACCTTTAAACAATATTTAAATAGTCTATAAGTACAATTGACACTGCGCATTGTCAAATAAAAATTTCACGTTTCGGGGTAGAAATATTGATTTTTTAATTTTGACATTTTTAATGCCAATTTTCAGTTATTATTAATTTTCCAATACTAAAATATCAACGCAAAAAGTAAAAAATTAATGCTATGACATTTTCAATATATAAATTAACCCATATTGGTAATACTTATCGTCAAAAAATTTAAAAAAATCATCCTGAATTTTTATACCCTTGCGAACGTATGTTCGAAGGGTATACTAAATTTTCCTTACCGTTTGTAACGCTAAGAAATAACGGTCTTAGATATAGACTCAAGTGTATGTTTTTGATCAGCGTCAAATTCTGAGTTGATTTAGCTTTGTCTGTCCGTCCGTCCGTCCCAACGATAACTCAAAAACTAATTGAGCTAAGTTCACCAAATTTTCACAAATGATTTATTGTAGTAAGTGCCAGAACCCTATTTAAATTGGACATGATCGGCGTACCGATTCGGTTAGCTGCCATACAACTTCAAAATTTCTTTGGCTATATTTCAGAAAATATAAAAGTTGCGGTATTGAAATTTCACACAAACGAATATATTAGTAGGGCCAATGTGTCTAATAAAAGTCGTTGAAATTACTTGGCTCCTTCTGATACCTGCCATACAACTTCAAAAGTTATTTGCCTATATCTCAGAAACTATAAAAGCTATGGTATTGAAATTTCACAAAAACGAATATATTATTAGTGCCAATGTGTTTGATAAAAGCCGTTGAAATTGCTCGACTCCTTCTGATAGCTGTCGTACAACTCCAAAAGTTATTTGGCTATATCTCAGAAACTATAAAAGCTGTGGTATTAAAATTTCACACACGCAAATATATTAAAAGGACCGATGTGCTTGATAAAATTCGTTAAAATTTTTTGGCTCTTTCTGGTAGCTGCCATATAACTTCAATAGTAGTTTGGCACACACAGTGTTTTGAAAAACACATAGTACTGAAATTTTGCATACATTAATATGGTAATACGGTAACTTAAAGTCATAGTCTGTCCCGTAGTCAGTTACGGCGTCTTTATTCGCACGTAGGATAACAAATTCGTACGGGTATCACAGAGTTGACAAGGTCAACTCTATTTTTTTCTCGTTTGATTTATAAATTGCTTTTCTTTGCCTTTCGAAAACGCATTTTATATACAATTCGGAATGCGGGACATTATAATTTTTTTAAGATACAATACGGAACGTGATACATTGTTAAAATTTGTAGTTTCTTTTACAAAATAGAATACTGCCATAGTTATAATTTTTATATTTAAAAATTTACTTAAATTGTTTTTTTTTTTCATAATATAGGAGTTTTTAAGATTTATTATAGAATTTTCTGCGTAGAGTATATAAAGAGAAGGTGGTAGAACAAGATAGCTTAAAAACTTCAATACGATATTGATATATTGCTTTTATACAGAAATTGATGGAAAATAAATTACATTTATTGACCATGAGTTTTTTCTTAATATTATGGAAATGACAAAATCAGCCAATTTGTCATTTCCATGCTCAACTTTTCTCCAAGAAGCCATCCTCAACTTTTCTCCGTTTGCAGAATTTGAAAAATGTTACTGGTATAGTGGCAGTAAATAGTCAAAAAAGGACATAGGGAAGAACATCAAAAAAGGGAGATAGGAAAACATTTTCTTCTACAGAAAAAGGGTGTACGGCTTTCTTAAAGGGTGTAGAAGTTTTGTAAACAGGCACACGGAGAAACCGTCAAACGAACTGAGTGAAACTAATAAGATTTCTTTGGAAAAGTGATAAAAATTTGAATATGAAGTATTTTTGAATAATAATAAAATGTTAAAAGATTTTCTTAAATAGAATTTAAGAATTTAATTTTATATTGTACTTTATGTAAGGTACCTTATGTTAAGGATGTACCTTAATGTACCTTATGTATTTAAAAAGCCGGCTCAAAATAATTTTTCTGAATTAATGCTCTGTAATTTTAAAATATGTATACGATGGATGTATAATATTAAAGGAATAAATAATTGTATGTAAACACTTTTTCTTTAATCAAGTTTTATGAAAATTACAGAAAAAATGTTTAATCGATATCGTAAATTAATCGATATTCATATAATGACTCATTATGTAAATGATATATGTATAAAACATTTAATCTTTAACTTAAAAAAATTACACTCATATTAACATTATTTAAGAAAGATTTATTCGTTATCAATAATTGAGATAAAGAATTTTTACAAAAAGGTTTTTATTTTAAAATTCTCCTTATACACTTATAGAAATGCAAGTTTGCTATAAAAGGATAGTAAAAAATATAAAATACGTGCCCGATTAAATACAAACTCATTTAAAATTCAAATTCCTATATAGGCTCTTCTCATATTTTAATATTTAATTTTTTTTTTTTGGGAAATTGTAGAACTCTACCTCTTTCTCTCTCAAAATTTATGGAATTTTTAAAGCATTTTTTGTTTCAATTTATTCACAATCTTCGTAAAAAATATAAGGCAATTTAAACATGTCAGAAATATAACCTAGAACGAATTTTTTTACATGATGTATAAATTATTTGATATAAATTAAGTATGTGTGTAATTCAATTGAGTTTTTTCGTTTTTTTTTTAAATTATATTAAACGAATCAAAAACATATCACAAGTCCCTAAATAAACAGTTCCGTTTCTGTCCTTTTCGGCGTCCTACGCAGTTTCCAATATGTGTAAATAGAAAGAACAAAGTGTTTTGAAAACACGTACTGGAAAAAGTTGGAAAATATTTTTAATTTTAAGAATTTTTTTCTTTTTTTAGGTTTTCAATGGGGGCCCTATTTTCACGTGCCCTTTTCAAATACTTTTTGCATTCTACATGGTAGATCCGCCGCAATATATAAATATACACAGCAAATAACAGAGTAAATATACCTGGAAGTTAAATAATATTCTTATAATTGATTTCCTCATTCATTGGTAGGGTATATGTAAAAATCAGGTAAAATTCGTTTATTAAGTTGTTAGTATATTAAGTATGTGAGTATAATATTGAAATTAAAATCTTATATGAGAATAATTTTTTGTGTTCTCAATATATTTATGTAATTAAAATTATTAATTATTATTAAATACATATAAACAGGTTTATTTAAAAAATTACGTATACAGAGTGATTCAAAAAAGTTGTACAACAACATATGCAATTGGCGAGAGATACAAAAATGGATAAAACTTTTATTCTGGAGTAGATGCAAAATCTCGAGGATTTTCGAGTTACAAGGATTTCAAGAAACTTTCACGAATTTTCCACTTATTCAAGTTTTTTTGCTTAAATTTTCCGTTCCGAAAAAAATAGAAGCTTCAAACAAACAGTTTTTGAAAGGGCTTAAAATCAACACGTTACACCATGCATTAGAACTTTAGAAAACCTTAAATTTTTCCCTATCTTTATTTTTTTAGGTTTCTTTATCCCGATAATTTCGTACAAAATTTTTTGAAATTTTAAAATTTTTTTTACAGAATTTTTCTCAACTGCTTGAGCTTTAATTTAAGTCCTCAACGTCAAAAAATCCTTTATGGTACGAATTCTATTTGTTGTTGTCTACTTTTCTAAATCACCCTGTATTTATATACATATCACATGTATTTATGATTTGTTTAATATCCATTTTTCATATTGTAAAATATGAACTAAAAAATTTTATTAAGAATTTTTTGTCAAATTGAAATTTTAATTGTAATTAATCAACAACAAAATATATACATGTAAGTATACGTATGTATATGTATATATAACCTACTATGTATAAACACAAACCATGAACTTAACATTCGCCAACATTTTTAGATTATGTTTGTTTTTCTTTTGCTATTTTTTTCTCATTTTATTCTAAATCTAAATTTTCCCTATAATTAAATTTATAAAATACAAATATGTTGTATATGAGGCAATTAAAATGTATTACATTTCTTCTAAATATTTCATTATAATTATATATACAAAAAATGCAGATTGTCCACAATGCAGAAAGAAGACAAAATAAAAAAAATAAAGAAAAGAGATCAAAATAATAATAAAAATATAAAAATATTTTTTCTCATTTATAAAAGTTTATAATAATAATGAGAATACGGACATACATCCACACATA